ATAACGTTTCTAATTTAACTACCTTCTTCATAGTGATCAAAGCTATGGCGCCCGTCAAGATGAACAAATGGAACTTACCGGAAGTGGACACAGAGACCATGAGCACGTCCGTTCCTGGCGTTTTCTGCGGTGGAGACCTAGCTGGCGTTGCGAATACCACCGTCGAGTCCGTGAACGATGGGAAGACAGCCGCCTGGTACATTCACAAGTTTATCCAGGTTGCGTACCTTCTCAATTCGTTTTGGTTACATGGGTTTTAAGGGACAAAAAGAAATTAAATTCTCATGCGTTATTCCATAGAATTCTTACAATTTGGAAGTGCCGGAGATCCCTCGATTGCCCAAGTTTCACACACCAATCGACGACGTTGATCTGACCGTCGAGATGTGCGGGATGAAGTTCGAGAATCCGTTTGGGCTCGCCTCTGCACCGCCGTGCACCTCCAGTGCCATGATCAGACGAGCGTTCGAAGCAGGATGGGCCTTCACCGTCACGAAAACATTCTCCTTGGACAAAGTAAGCGAATACTTTTGGTAAAACGAGCCTTCTTCTTGGTATTTTTACTCGACGATCTGTTCCCAGGACCTCGTCACGAACGTGTCTCCACGGATAATCAGAGGCACGACCTCTCGGCATCTCTTTGGTCCGGAGCAGGGTAGTTTCTTGAACATCGAATTGATATCTGAAAAATCGGAAGCTTACTGGTGTCAAAGCGTCACGGAATTGAAGAGAGACTTCCCAACTAAGGTTCGAGGATAATGTTCGATTACAATTATTTACTTCTTTAAAGAATAATTCACTAACGATAATTCATCGACAGATCATTATAGCAAGTATTATGTGCACTTACAACAGAGCAGATTGGACGGAACTTGCTCGGAAAGCTGAAGCTGCCGGCGCCGATGCTTTGGAATTGAATTTGTCTTGTCCACATGGCATGGGAGAGTCTGGAATGGGATTGGCTTGCGGACAAGTACATTTATTATAATTTTAGATATTTAATTACCGTTTAAGTTATGAAATCACCGTAACGTCCTCGCGTTTCACATCATGTTCAAGGATCCCGAGTTGGTGAGGAACATCTCCAGATGGGTTCGAGCAGCTGTAAAGATACCATTCTTCGTGAAATTGACGCCAAATATCACCGACATTGTTTCTATAGCTAAGGCGGCTTACGAAGGTACATTGAGCGCTACGCCACCCATATATGGGTGACAGAACTTTTTACTGAGAAACTAAAAGACCTGATTCCGATGGTGAGATGTTCAATAAAATAAATCTAGCGACAATTCGTGAACCTTATGACGTTGGAAACTTAATTGAATAATTTTTCAACGTCATAAGGTTCACGAATTGCCGCTAGATTTATTTTATTGAACATCTCACCATCGGAACCAGGTCTTTAAGTATTACCATAACTGTTGGGTTACGTAGTTTCTAATCGTCTTGAACTAAAACTTTAGTCTGGCAGCCAACGTGTTAAATGCTTCAACGTCTCCGTCTTACTTTCTAAGAGATTATTAATATTACAACTTCAATATGTTAGGTCAAGCGGACGGAGTATCCGCTATAAACACAGTGCAAGGTTTGATGGGCCTGCATGCTGACGCAACCCCCTGGCCAGCGGTTGGCGTCAAAAGGGCTACCACCTACGGGGGTATGTCGGGCAACGCGACGAGGCCTCAGGCTCTACGAGCAGTTTCCTCTATTTCCAAAACCCTCCCTGGGTTCGCCATACTTGGTATCGGCGGTGTCGATTCGGCAGACGTTGCTCTTCAGTTTCTTCACTGTGGCGCATCGGTGGTGCAGGTGAACTACTTTCCTTACAAGCGATCTTCCAAGTTCGCAATATAAAAATTCGTACAAGAATTCACGGTGGGTTATCGTTGATCGCCAGGTCTGCAGCGCTATACAGAACCAAGATTTCACTTTGATCGACGATTACGTAACTGGTTTGAAGGCTTTACTGTACTTGAAGAGCCTGCGGCAGGTGAAAGATTGGGACGGACAGAGTCCGCCGACCTTCAAGCATCAAAAGGGAAAACCGGTTTCCTTGCAACACGCTCTTGGCAAGGTATTTTACAATAGTTAATTAACAAGATTGAGACCTGTTCGGATATTATCGGTTGACGTCGGACATTGTCTCTCTGGTATCGTTACGTAACAATTACTTCGGTATTACATCTTGCATAGGAAATAAAACAAGCGGTGGTTCTATTAGTCACTTTGCTACTCGAGCCATTTACATTTCAGAATGTACCTTACTTTGGAGAGTATCAGAAACTTCGCGAGCAAAAGCTAGCCGAGATTAAGGCGAACTCGAATCCGCTCGATAAAGCCATCGAGATTACGAGACCCGCGCCAGAACCAATCGCGGCTGTACCAACGATAAAAGACGTTATTGGCAGGGCCATAAATCACATTGGAGCATTCAAGGACTTGAACAATAAAGAGCAAGTGATAGCACTCATAGACGATGTACGTCTCCGTCAGCTTCGAATAATGTTACTCGAGTTTTTCATTTTGCATTGTATATCAAAAAACGTAGTAATATTCCTCTTTTAACTCGATCTACGTTTTCTGCGGTAGGATATGTGCATAAATTGCGGAAAATGCTACATGGCATGCGCCGATTCTGGCTACCAAGCGATCGAGTTTGACAGTGAAACTCACATTCCAAAAGTGAACGACGACTGCACGGGCTGCACTCTTTGCCTCTCGGTGTGCCCCATTATCGATTGTATCACGTAAGTATCTCTTTTGTTTTCTCGCACAATTTTTCAGGAGTAGTTCGAGCAACGCTACTTTTTTTCAGTATGGTACCTAAAACGATACCTCACGTTATCAAAAGAGGAGTACCGCCGAAGGGAACGTTCGAAATTCCGTGTTAACGCAAGCGCCTTTGCAAAGGAAAGAATATTTATTGTCCTATTACAAAATTTCCTTAGTCAACAGACTTAATTGATAACATCCAATACCTGCCTAATTGGATACGTATTCAAACTACGATTGTTTTGATCTAATAAATCTAATAAAGCAATATTGTTTATTAAGACTTTGTATCTCGATTTATTTAACTAATCAAATCCCGATAAAATCTGGATTATCGAACCACTCCATTGTCTTCGGTCGAGACTGGTTGTAATTGTACTCTACGCACTTGTCGTCTATCACTCGCCGTCTGAAATTCAATTCGAATAAATATACATGCGAAATTGCCTTACGAAGAACACAAGCGATTATTAAAGAATGATTTACCCTGCGTATCGTTTACAACTCTCGATGGGATAAGAGTTCTGGAAGCACTGTGGCCTTAGGACGTTGAAGTAGGTTGTTCCGATGTCCGCAGCTATGATGGTATTTGCTTCCTTCAAGCAATTATAGAATTCTTTGTCGCAATTACAGTGTGATCTGTTATTCAATGGAATATATAAATATTATTTCTAATTCAGCTACGCTCTATTTTAAATACACGGTGGGATAGTTAAAACTTTAAAATACTCGTACAAAATATTTAAAAATTCACATCGCCATTACCTGGTGAAAATACCATTATTTGCAAGGCCGTCTTGCAGCGCATTCGCTGGAATCGATACTGGGCAAGAATCGTGAGCCTTACAACAGGCATCCGTTTTTTTAAACAAGCCAAGGTCTTGCTTGTTGGGAGAAATGTCTCCATCGCCGCACCAATACGTTCCTGAAATTCAAAGTTGTTGCAAGAAAATCTGAATTTTATTAAATAATTGTTAAATAAAGTCGTGTACCTGGGAATATCGCCTTAATTCTTAGTTTATACGGATTCAAGGCATCCGCGACCGATGTTCGATTTCTCGTGATTCTATTCTGCCGCAATGCCCTTAGGGAATTCCCTAAGGGAAGGAGATCCGTTATCGACCTCAAGTCATCTTTGATAGACGCGATCCCTTCTTCTATTTTTTGTCCAGTTTTCATCATCACTTTGATCGTTCTCTCGACAATGCCGACGTAAGTTTCTTTCGGGACATCATTGCGTTCGACTGCTTCGGTATGTTGAATACCTCCGAGTCCGAGGAATAAAAGAATCGAGGATAACGCCATAAACGTTCCAAACGTGCGACACCAGGACATTGTAAAATTGCTATGCGTGAAATAAATTGTTCATTAGCGATGCGAAACGTTCAGATTTACATAACATATTTTTTTTACGATACTTCCGTGACCATTCTACTCCTGAATCCTTTGTGAACATTTACGGATGTTCGAGACGATAACATGCAAAATTCTACTTTATCGATTATTCACTAACGATTCATTAAAAATTAAACGGTTATTCGAATACATTTTTGAAAACCTTACGTTAATAATAAGCAAATTATTTGTGAACATTGTTCGAGAGTTGTTAAATGTTTCAAGACCTATTGAAACCCCAAGGCCGTTCGAAACTTTCAAGGCTCATCAAGGTTCTCGAGACCTTCTAATGTCGAATAACGTTCAAATAGCTTCGACGTCATCGATTAGATCCGGTTTTAAGTTTACCAGTGCGTGCGGTTATCTATCGCTTAATTAAAAAGTCGAAGTTGTACACTGATAATCACTTTTTACGAAGAAACGGCTATGCTCGGATACTCGATTTCGATCGTCGAACACCTGCTGAGCTCGACGCGATGCTGATGGCACGTTCCTTTCAGCGACTGTTCATTTCATCGCAATTCCGCGATGTTTTATTCCTCGCAATTCCGCGATGTTTTATTCCTCGCACCGACGCAAGATGCGAGAAAAACTAAAACACTAATTGTTAGAGTTCGACAGCTGTGTAATGATCGACTGATCCATTGAACAATATTAACGGAATTATTTCCGGAAAATGCAAGTGAATTGCAGACGAAAGCTCTACTGTCATAAAATTAATTAGGTGCAATTGAGTATCTGCGTTTCATTGTTGACAGTTGACAATATTACGAAGTATGTTTGCCGCGTTTCTGTCTTCGAAGTGTCACATAATGCCAAATCATACGTTGAAGTATGAATTACTGGTAAGCTTTATTTTACAAAAGGTCGCACAACGTATTGTGCTTACATCACACTCGCAACACTGTAATTACAGTTAGTAATATGTTTAAGGAGAAAGCATGAAGGGTATAAAGTTCTGAGAGATCCGGAAAATGTTCACGATAGAAAAGATACGTAGTGTTTATGTTTCGTCGCTCAGGGATTCACTCGTGGTCAGTCCGTTTTCCGTGGTATAGTCGTCCGTGTCCGTAGTACGTTGATCCTGCATCGCGCGTCGCTTTTGAAGTCTCGTGCATCGCGGACAACAGTGATTTGGTTTCGTCCAACACACACGATGATAGACAGCTCCACACTGATGACAAGTTATAGAACTCGCGTTCCACGGGTAAATGATTTCGTCGTTGCCGCATATTTCGCACAGGTGTCCTCTGCAAAGGCAATTGAAATTCAATGAGTTCGTTTCTGAGACGCTCGTTAAAGAAGGGCGAAAATAAACTATTAGTCGTTCAAAATCAACTTCAAAGTTTACCTCGCTTTGCACAGTTGGCATTGCTCTGTTATGTGAGAGTGCATAGTGTCGTATACGGCACGAATTTCTTCCTGAAGAATACCATTGTTGAGGTCAACGAGATCTTTGATAGAATAATTTCCAGAGTTCTCGATCATATGAGTACGCATGCCAATTTTCCATGGTAGGCCTTGATTGGTTGCTTCAGGGCACAGAACCAAATAGCGTTTCATCATCTGCATTTCTTCCCGCATCCTCTGTTTGCGATTAATATAAAATTTGTATTTTGTAATCAATTTTTATTCTTTCGATCGTAAAGACGTGATGTATCTCACCTTTACTAAAGATAGATCTGGAATTAACGTGAATAGTTTTGGATTTAATTCTTCCAATGGTAAAACGGAACGGTCCTCCAGAAGACTTAAAAGTTGCGCCGCGGCGCGAGATACGAGTTTTGGTTCCATGTCCCAATTTCTAATTACTCTTGCAGGAATCACCATTGCGGTGTTCCAATGGCATCTTTGACAGTAATATAATCCGCTGTAGTCGCAAAGTCGTGGCTCGATCCACGGTGAATCTGTATTTCCAAATTACGCATTGAAATTAAAGGAACATAAATGTATCGCAATAGTTTTTAATCTTAGAAACACGTGTTTTCAATATTTTCATTTTTCTCGCGTTGTTACCTGTATTCTTGAGAGATGTGCCAAAACAAGATAAAGATAATCCTTTTGAGAGAGCTTGTAATAAAAATATAGTTTAATCGTGTTGTGATATCTCTTGCACATGGAAAAGCTATGTTGATTGTTAAATAGCACGAGTACATAACGATGTGCAAATATTAACATTCACGGGCATTTCACCGCAAAGACTTGTTTCAATTTGATCATACTTACTGAACGTTATTCGAGCTTTACATTCAGCACACCGATAACTCTGATTCGACAAGCCTTGCTCTGGACAAATATCTTTGGTATAAGTGTAACCACCCGCTTCGCTGGCAACTACGTGGACGCACACTCTGCATATACTGTTTAAACATTTCCAATGGCAACAAAATTTGCAATCTATGAAAATATACTTCAAATGTAATATTGTGTCATACATACTCCAAACAAGCACAAAATTAATAACAAAAAAAAATCTTACCACTGCACATATACCATGACTGAAGCATAGTCCAAATAGCTCCACTACAATGGTCGCAATACACAGGTCTAGAAGTGGTTATATAATATTTTTGTGGTACCAAGTGATGCCCTAAAATTACTTGTGTTTCAATTAAATTTTTTTCTGAAGTTTCTCGCAATTCTTGCAACCTCAAACGTAATTCAATTAAGCGTCTAACAAGCCATTTTCGTTCATCTGAACATTCGGCGCTTTCCAATACCATTTGCTTACATTTTTCTACCATTTCTTTAAGATCCTCTGCACATGTTGTCTGAAACATAACACGTCAAATATATATATAGGAGAGAATTATACAAAAGATATTTAAAAACGTGTTCAGTACCTTAGACAATGAAAGTGTAGTTTCCACTGATTTTAAACTAAATGGTGTATGACCTTTGCTATCTGAACTGTCATCTGCTTCCCCTGTCATATAATCAGACGACGAAGAAGGAGTTGATGTCATTGTTCCACAGCTATCAGTTCGCATCCTTGACTCATAATTGCAATCGTGTGCATCATTAACATTATTCTTGATGTCAACCATTTTTCATAGATCCTACAGTTTCTTATGTTTAAATATCACCTTACACTCCTTTAATAAATATCCTCAAATGTCGTACTCTTAAAATTATCAAACTTACTTGGTTATGTCCAGAGAACTGTGTCTGGTATCGCGATAAACTTATAAACAATAACTGCCATACACATATGATTCTTAGAAATTGATGTTTTGCATGTGCATCACTACTGATACCTGTTCAAAATTATAAAATACTTGATACAAATAAGAACGTAATTCTCATTTTTTTTCTTCTCAGATAATTGCTTACATCAATACATGCAAATCCACAAATATTTTACATTGAATACGTTACGATATTCGAGTCAATTTTTAATTCTTTTAATGCACTAAGGTAGCAAACTCCACTTTTACATAGTCCTCGAGAAAAAAATACATATATGTAAGTAGGTCTTCCATGATAAACTTGAGAGTCACTGATGTCTGTCACGCAAATGTCAGATGCGCGTTGATTATTTTCTATTTGATTGTTTACTATTGAGATCTTATCGAGATTAATGTAAACTTTATTTTGCTTCTGATAAAATAGTTCCATACGTCTAAAAATGTGAAAATAAATCATCGTATTGATTGATTCATTCCTATATCGATGCTTTGATGTATATAGATAGCATGAGTGAAACATCCTAACCTCAATACATATTTGAGTTTCAATACGAAACTTATTTATTTACATTATTTATCATAAGCAGGTAATGAACCTTTATGAAGAAAAGATATTACACAACGAGTTTTCAATTTAAACGTTCGATTGGTGGACATGCACAAATAAGATCATATAACCTGAGTTTTATTATTTAACCTTGCTTAATATTGAAACAATTCCAGGTGATTTACAATCATGAATACAAAAAAGGTCATTACTTTCGGGAAAATTAGTAAAGATCTGAAGCAAGAACAGCCTCAAAATGCAGAACCCGTTAGTTCAGGATTCGGTACGTTTGGCAAAAAATTACCAGAGACCAATGTGACAAAGATGAACGAGATCAAACCGGAAGATGAAGAGGAGACTCAAAATTTAAAACAAGTTATGGGCATAACTGGCTTTGGAAAGAAAGCTAAAGCTTTCGATGTGCAAGAAATGTTGGAAAACATTACAAAAACTATTAATAGTAATAAAGCTGCTGCGGTTGGAAAAGAGACAAAGAGTTTAGAAGTTATAGACAATCTTTTGGAGGATGAATCTGAAAGCAGCGACGATAATGGTAATCAGGATAACACCGATAACGACGACGAAGATTTGATCGGACCTCCGATACCTACCAATCATGAAACTTCGGAAGATGCAGGAAAAACTTCAAAGTCTACAAATAATGACGATAGCGACGAAGACGACGAAGAATCTGACACAGACGAAACAGAATTAAAAGATAAAATTCCGTGCAGTCACGAAGTTACAATGACTCACGGAACAAAGGCGGTAACTGCTATCGCAGCGGATCCTTCTGGGGCAAGATTAGCTTCAGGTTCTATCGATTACGATGTTTGTTTCTGGGATTTTGCTGGCATGGATTCGTCCATGAGAAGTTTCAGAACTTTGCAACCTTGCGAGAACCATCCCATCAAATGTTTACAATATTCTATGACCGGGGATGTTATACTCGTCATATCAGGGTCCGCGCAAGCGAAGGTTTTAGATCGAGATGGTTTCGAAAAATGCGAAACCGTCAAAGGTGATCAGTATATAACCGATATGGCGCGTACGAAAGGTCATACGGCTGGGTTGAATAGCGGCTGTTGGCATCCGTTTACAAAGGAGGAATACCTCACATGTTCGCAAGATAGTACATGTAGAATATGGATTTTATATAGACCACGTGGTCATAAACATTTAATAAAGTGCAGAGCACAAAATGGAGTGAAAACTATACCGACTACTTGCGGTTATAGTCGAGAAGGTAACGTAGTTGCTTGTGGTTGTATCGATGGCTCTATACAAATGTGGGATCACAGAAAAAACTTTGTCAATCCGTCGCTGATACAGAGAAATGCACACTCGCAAGGCGCTGAAATATCAAGTTTAAGTTTCTCTTATCTCGGACAAATGCTCGCGACCAGGAGTTGCGACGATACGTTGAAACTTTGGGATTTAAGAGCGTTTAAGTCGCCAATCTTCGAAGCTAAAGATTTATACTCTCGCTACGATACAACAGATTGCATGTTTAATCCGGACGACTCGATTCTTATCACAGGAGAGTCGTTGAACAAAGGTCAAACTACTGGTAGAGTTTTATTCTACGACACAAAAACTTTTGATGTAGTCAACGAAATAAGTGTAACAAATTCGCACGTTATCAAAACGTTATGGCATCCAAAGTTGAATCAGATATTTGTTGGCTGTGGAAATGGTATAGTCAAAGTGTACTACGATTCGAAGAAGAGCTTGAGAGGTGCAAAATTATGCGTTGTAAAGTCGCATCTTAAACAGAAGCACATCGAGGTGATGTCGACACAGCAGATAATAACGCCGCATGCGCTTCCATTGTTCAGGCAGGATAGACCTAAATCGGTTCGTAAACAACTGGAAAAGGATCGTCTGGATCCAGTGAAGTCAAGGAGGCCAGACTTGCCGATTACTTCTGGGCAAGGTGGAAGAGTCGCTTCTTCCGGAGGAACGCTCAGTTCTTATGTAATACGGAACTTGGGGCTAAGCAAGAGAATAGAAGACGACCAGGATCCTAGAGAGGCTATTTTGAAATTTGCAAAGGTAGCAGAAGAAAATCCGTACTGGATTGCTCCAGCGTATAAAAAGACTCAACCTCAGACAATTTTTCAAACGGACGAACAGGAGGGAGCGCCGAGTTCGAAAAAGCAGAAAACTTGAAGAACATATTTTATATTACACGAACTCTTTATGTTATCATCTAATGTTTAACTGAGACTTTTTTTATGTATATAAATACTAGTGAATTAAATAAATGATTGTATTAAAAAGAAGGTTTTCATACATGTTTTCATTACCTAGTGGCTAAAATTACCCCTGTTTGTATGCAATTATGTATGACGAGCGCGCATAGCTGGTTGCATATCTCGATGGGCTATTTTAATTCGGTAGATAATTCATCCAATGAATATTCGATCTATTTACGTTTCAAAAATACATTGATTGTCTATTGTTCAATATAGTGGGCAATGAAATGGTATTATCAACTGTAGCGATGAACAGACTAAATTATTTTTAATTTTACGATACAAAGCGATCGGGGTTGTAGAGATAATGTTCGAACAATTGCTGCTGGATGGCGTCACCGATGTCGTCCAAAAGTAGCAACCACTTTTCATCGACTTTAGGATAAAAACAATGCAGTTAGAATAGGGTTGGACTAAAGGATGCATATAAAATTGTTGACATGCAATGTAAAATATTTAACGATGATAATTTCTTCGGTGGATCGATAAGGTTTAATTAAAATTCTAGCGAAAACCAGAAGCTTGTCGAGAACGAAGGGATGCGTTTCAGTATTCACCTCAAAGATGATGCATTAAAGGACTTCTTTATCAGGACAACATGAAATCAAGACATGATTTTATATGTACAGAGGAGAATGTATCGATATTTCCAACATGTACATGGAATTGTATAAAGCAAGGGTAAACCAGGCAAAACATGGATTGTAGTTTCTGTCCGAGTTTCCTTTTTCTTTGAAGATATTACTGGCGAAGGAATGATAGTATCCCTGTTCCAGGAGTTTACAAGAACACGATCCCGTCGCTGCTCTGTGTACACACTCCACGAGGGAGGGTTAGAGCAGCGACGAAGAGAATCGACGGCTCGTAGGACGACGAGGAAATCGAGGACCCGAATCTAAATAAATCGATCAGTAAATAGATCGAGCTTGCTTCCTCCTACTGTTTTCCGATTGGACAACAAGGGGTGCATGGGACGGGGATGCTGGGGGGAGAGGAGGCCGTGTATTTGTGGCGTACGAGTCGGCGGCTGCGATCGCCTTCTGGCAAACCTTATCGTGACACCGTTTCGTGCGTGTTCGAGAGTTGGCCGGCTCGGTTCGCTCGATCGGTTCGTTTCGTTCCGTGATCGATCGGTCCGGCTATTGTGCTCGATGTAATCCAGTGATATAACGATTTTTACCCTTTTGTGCATCGTGGTGCATCGTTCCTGCGACGATCCCCCGGCGCGAAAACTCACTGGCAAGTAACCGGGGAGAAGCGATTCGTTGAAGTAAATTCATTCGCCGCCGCTAGACTATATTCGTTTCGGTCGACGCGTGCGGCCACTTCCGCGTACATACTACGAATTCCTCCGTCGCGTTCCAACGCTGTTTCTTACTCTTCTTCGTTTTTCGCTTGTCTTTCGGAAAGTAAATCTAAATAAAAAAACAAAAAGCAATTTAATACTGTATGAATCAACGTACACGTAGGAAGATCTTTCGCCTCGGAACCCTCAGGCTTAACCCTTTGCGCTATCTTAACGATACTTTCGCTGGAATGATCTGGCAAGTCCAAACGATAGATTTTAATATTAAATAAATTGAACTTAGTAACGTATAATCAGTTTATCTTTCCTTACATCGACAAAGATTGTCGCCTCACAGTCGCCACTCGAGTCGCTGCATAGATTCTAGTGGCGTCCGAGGGTCGCTTCTCGAGTGCAAAGGGTTAAATTGGTGTTACGTAACGCAGGGTGTATTTTAAAGAAATATATAGTGACATTATTGATGACTTCGCCATTGTATGTTCCTATTAACGTGCTATACTCTACGAACGTCAATGTCATTAGCGACTCTGTTGCTTCCAGAGGAGGATCACGACCCGAAACAGAAAGAATATGTTCTATCTGCTGCATAAGCGCGCGAACGATCGTGCGCCAAATCTTTCAGATTTAAATGCATGCGGTTCCAAGTGACGCGCGCACTCGACCAGTGTTGGGCAAAATGTAATCGAGTTGACAATTGACAATTAAGATTCAATTTTAGATTTTAAACTACGGTAGATAATCAAAGATATCGCAATGAAATCGATTAAAGATGTAGACGATCGATGCTCAACGCTGCGCTCAGGGCGATCGGCGATGCGGCTCGAGGAAATTCAAGCTCGCTAATTCTGTTTGTTTCGTGTTACATAATCGATCGAACCGACACGGAAATCCCTTTCGGGACTGATCTGACTCTCGAACGTCGAGGTCACGGTGACTTCGACGTGATCGCGAACGCACGATTTTCAGATGTAGATCGACATGGCCATCAATATAAAGTTCACGAAATTCGACAACACACCATGGGGATTTCGATTGGCGGGTGGAAGCGACTTTCCACAGCCGCTCACTGTCATCAGAGTACGTATATCCTTGTCATTACTGCACTTTTAATCGTTCGGAATCAATAATTTTTATCGCAACTAAAGTGTAATACTTAGGACGTCGTTAATACTAAATATCATTAAATTATATCGAGTTTCAAAGGGTTCGTTTAAGAGAAATCGATCAAGATTCCGTACTCTATGATAAAGTTAATTCGCGCCTTTGCGAATGCGTGGGCGAATGTAAATCAGTACAAATGGTTGCATACGCGCTGGCGTATACTTCAAAACATCGATAAAGTAGGAATGCTCGGTACATTATGAAGAAATCCTATATTATCAACGGAAGTTTAATGTACGTAGGGTTAGTTATCAGGGATTCGCACCGCTGCTGAACCCTAACCCAAACCCGGTTAATGAAGGGAAGGTTACTGTAACCCATACTAATCACGAAGGAACGGTTCTTGAATTGTAGGAAGCGCGGGTTAACCTGCTCGTTGTGGGTTACTAGTAGAAGAAGACATCCTAGACATCCAGACAAGTCAAAGATATGTGAACTTACAGGCAATATTCAAATCAAATGAAACTAGATTGTTTAAAATGTACGAGTATATAATGAATGTAGGACACACACGTTCACTGCACGTTCTAAGGCAAGACTGACGAATGTTTATCATTCGCCTGGTTGTCGCAGTTGCTAGTGTTGGGGTTTCCATAACATGTCCGGTGAAAATAGGACAACTTGATTCCTTCAAGTGACTGTTTATACCAATACATGTACTATTCGTCCGCAAGAAGAGGGCTGGCCAAGTGTTTACGTTCCCGTTCTGCTAGATAAGTACAGTAAACGAGTAGTAAATACGACTAAATGTAAGCACTTGCATGACCTTCGTCTCGCGGATGGACACTAGAGTAGAAAACAGACAATATTGAAATAAAATTGATTACCTTTTAGAAACATGGTAATAACTATGGTTTTTACTGTATTATTATAACGCGCATAAAACCGGGTTTTATCGGTTACTCGGGGTTACTCGGGTTACAGATGTCTTGTGTTACCTGATTAGATGGGTTATTCTATAATACGAAGTACCGGAATCCGGTACGGGTTAGGGTTCGAATCCCTGGTAGTTACCATTGCCAGCTGATTGTCATACATTTGATAACAGCTTCACTTATCAGAAAAATTCATTGTTGACATTATGTAGCATGACACGTGATACTGTTTAATAACACTGTACCTTTTCTTTTCTGTCTCTCTGCTTTCTTTTAATCCCTTAAACACGGTCTTTCCTTAACTTGAAACATAATATAGCGTCTGTTGACTCTTGATCCTTAGTTTGACGTCGCTATATAAACAAACGTCGAATTTCACAGAAAAGGAAAGGTCGCTTTGATGAAAAATGTTTCCCAGGTAACAGAGGACAGCCTGGCGGAATGCATGGGCTTGAAGGTCGGCGACGTCGTGGTGAGATTAAACGATCAGCCCATCAGCAGCCTGACCCACGGTCAGGCACACGAAGAACTAATGAGAGCGGGGAATAATTTCGTTCTGGGTGTCCTGAGGTAAGTTAGCGTCGTTCGACTGAGATAAGCGAAGAAATTACCTGGTTAGACAGTCCACCTGTTTAATCATCGATTTTTGTCATCCGTCACGAGATCGTGCAGAACGTACCTGCCTCCTCTTGGATCTTTCCCACTTCGTACAAGCGATGTTAATTGGTTCATACTTGTTTCAAGACAGTTACATGACCTGGAAGAATATACTTGTTGAGTACGTGTGTATGTTTGTTAACAGGATCGTGTCTAAAGGGCTGAACGGATTTCAATGAAACTTGTATATGTCTTATATTCGCACAAGTGCCGATTAGAGATTCGCCAGAATAAATTCATGGTTAACAACGGCTAGCCCTTCTTCTCAATTTTCTCTAATAAAGCAAAAGTTAAACTCTCAGTTTTTCATCTGTAGTTATTCTATACTCAAACCTTTCTTCTTTTAATCTTGTCTTACTTTTTCGTTCCACATTCTTTAAATATTCATTCTGTGTTCCCTAAACCGTGCTTAATACCCAAAAGCGAAATTTCAGGAAGAATCGTAACGTATTCGTCTCCGTTACTTCTTTTTAATTCGCGCGACAAGTTTTAACTCGCAAGTTTTTGGTTGTGGCACGTTTCCGTTGGACGTGCGGGCCACAGATGAAAGCTTTCGTCGGAAGTGGATCGCGCAAGTTAACCGTGAAAATGATCGCAATGTCAACGACACGTTGTTGCATCGTCCCGATCCGCTTGGACCGCGAAGCTTAACTTGAACTACTTTCGACACACGAGAATTTTATTTCTAATACGCGACGCTGATTCATTCATCGCCCTCGGGGTCGTTCATCCACGTTGACGAACACAGGGACACGTTCTGCGCGTATACCAATCGCTGTTAGATTCCTGTATCGATCGTGCTCGTTTCTGATGATGAGGAATAGTTTACAGAATCAGGGGAACACCTCGTTGGTGTCCCTGTACGCTGGCGAACATTATAATAATATACGCCGGTGGCCAGAATATCCCGGCGTACGGGCATACGTGTGGCAACGAATTGCAACACTTATAAATAGGTGACCCAGAATGAAATCTGTTTATCATTGGTCGGCGATTTTATTGCTGGCATTTACACCGAGCGTCGTGGTTTGTTCCCCCAATCCCTCATTACCCTTTCGCGCGTGGACCGGCTCGGAGGCGCTGGCCTTTCGTGAAAAGAGTTAAAAAGAGTCGGACGAGAACCGTTTTCGTTCCGAGCTCGCGGAAAACCGCGACGCGGATCACAAAGTCGGTCCAGAACCATTAATCGGCACGGTTGTTGCGCAGAGAAGAAGATTCCCTCAAGGCTGTGGAGGCGCTGTCCGAGGAGAACATCGTTCCGTACAAGATCCCAGTAGGTACCTCGAGCAATCCAACAAGTAATCTCGTTTAACTCTCTATTGCATAATTATATATTTGCTATCTCGAGCTATCACTTATTACTCTTTGGTTTGGACTCATTCGCGGATCCCGATAGAAACTAATGTATAATAAATAATTATAATTTCTCTTTCGAGGCTTAAAATAAAATTCACGTAGGAAAAGATTAAAATAGATACAACACGAAAGTGATTCACTCGCTTCACGAGAAAAGAAAATCGAACAAAATCGTTACCATGGCTTAGTCACCTCAGTGGCTCGGCTAGTCAACGGTGAATTATACATACATCGTTCGAGATTAAACGATATTTGGACCACTCGTCAAAAAATCACTGAACGAACGGGATTACGGATCAAGATTCAAGTTCGTAGACTGCGAAGTTCGCGATGTGACCCCCTTTGTCAGCTTGCAGACTTACCACCGGTTTTTCCGGAGTCAATCTTAAAGGAGGAGATCGTAACCGAGGTGACCGAGGTGACCACTGTGTACGAGGAAAAACTAGTCGAGGAGGAGGCCAAGCCAGAGGTGGAACCTCTTCCGGACAAGCCAAAAGACGCAAACAGCGAGGTCGTTCCTAATCAGAATCTCACAGACGACGAGATCGCTCAATTGATCCTCGAGGAAGAGGAGCTCTTGAACGATAAAGGAGTTCTGGGGTATAGATCACTTCTTTCCTGAAATGTTAGAATAGACTAAAATACACAGTGAAGGATTTCTCATTCTATCGAGCCATTAAAATTGATATGTAAAAGGTCTCGTACCTAACGTTGTACGCACTTGCACAATTCAAAACGATATTTGAACGGTAAAGGAGTTCTGGCTCATAGATCCATCACTTCTTCTTTCCTGAAACATTAGGCTAAACTAAAATACACATTTAAAATACACATTCGTTTTCTAATTAATGTGTAAGACGTGTCATATCTACTGTTACCTTTAAATCATTTGAAACGATCCGACTTCCAGGGTGAACTTCAAGAAGCTCAGGCCCCGTGTCACGACCCTGAAACAATCGAAGGTGATAGAGGAGCTCCAGAACCTCGCGACAGAACCTCCTCCGTTGGTGGAGCAACTGAAGCGCACTTCTGTGTTCCTGCAGAAGCCCCAGCGTCCGATTCCGGCGCCCCGCAAGAAGCCGGACGAACAGGAAGAAACAGAGGGCGAGAAGTACAGAGTGGTGATAAAGAAGCAGCAAAGAAGGACCATCACCGACAGACTTCTGGAGAGCGGCCTGCTGAAGCCAGAAGACGCAAAGACCCCGGAGCCCCCGACTCCCGAGGTAAACATGGACAGTAACGAATCGCTGGCGACAGTCGAGGAGGACGATTTCTCGTCGTTGATCGTACCATCGGACGCGTTCGACGATGATCCGTGCTTGCAGCAGCAGGCACAGCTCGAATCTTCCGTCGCGTGTACAGAGGTGTTCACCACGCGTCTAGAAATCGAGATCGATCCGAGTCGCTATTCGCTGAACGTAGACGCCGAGGCTAGTCCACCATCGGACGTCGTTCCGTTACAGTCGCCTAAACGAAAAGAGAACGTAGCCGTGGCTCGTCGAACGCCTATCAAACGCAGGTTCAAACGTTTCTACACGAGGGCTCACTACTTCCGCGGATGCCTCTTCGGCAAGAGAGATCAGGTCGACACCAAGAAACCGTCCAAAGTGAGGCCCTCGTTCAGGGAGCCTCACCAGGCGAACGACGCTCCGAATCTCGTGATACCTGCGGTCCTAGCCACGGAGCAGCCCGAGGAGCAGCCACGTCGCGGTAGCGTCGAGAAATCGAAGTCCAGGATGAAAGGTCGTTACCTCGAGACGTATCTGAAGCGAGAGGATAATTGGATTAGGCGTGCGATCGACGGCTTGCTCGAGGGGTCGGTCGACGCTACCTCGAGCAAGCTTTTCGACCTTCTGGTCTCCGACAAAGAGGTCTCCCTCAGGCGTACGCGTTACGCGGAGAAAGTTCTCGTCAAGAGCGTCCACTTCCTCGTAGCCCGCGTTCGCTCCGATATTTTGGCGTGTCTCGAACGGGAACCGAAACAGAAATCGCGGATTCGCAGGCGTTTCTACTTCAAGGGTCGTTACTTCCAGCGCCTGCTCTGGCGAACCGTGGCGCGTTTGATGGAATACATCAGAGGCGTATCGTCGGCCAAGGATGTCCGCGGCGCAAGTAGAAGACGTAGTTCCGCGATGATTAAGATGAGAGGTCGTTACATGGAGAAGTGTTTGCTTCAGAACGGTTTCCTCGATCTTCGCGAGCGTTTCCCCTCGCACCCAGTTGTCTGCTCGAAGAGGAAGCTCTTCGTGCGCACTCGCTACGCCGAGCGCGTCGCCAAAAAGCACTTGGAATCGCTGGGCTTCATCGTTCGATACGTTCGCGAGCAGGTTCTCCAAGGTATTTCCAAGTCTTCCAGCGTCGATAGGGAGGCCGAAGGAGGCTTGCCCGATCTGATTCGTTCCTCTAAAGACTTCATCTCCACGGAGGTGTTCCATCGAGGTAGCAGGCGTATCTCCAGATCGTGCAGGGGCAGCGTCTCCGTTGGTTCTCCGAGTTTGTTGAACGTTTTCCGTAACTTCGTTCGCGATTTCGATTGGCTGCCGACGACGTTCAGCAGGGGTTCGACGGATCGAACGATCGGGGAGAAGAAGGCAGTTCAGGACGGGGATCGCGAGGGTCGCAGGTTGTCCTTCGTGCCCACTGTCCTCTACGAAGGCCTGACGAATCGCATAGGCGTCGATTTCACGAGACTGGTGGCGTACGCGTTCGTACCCTGCACCTCCATCGTTCTCCTCTACATGTACAAGTAAATCGATTTGGACAACGCGTTACTTCGTTTGCTAGTTACGATAGAATACAGGAATGTCTTGCTGATACAGGGTAGAAAATGCGTTACTTCGTTTGCTAGTTACGATGGAATACAGGAATGTCTTGCTAATACTGGGTTGTAAGGCTGATACAGGTGGGTTAGGTATTGGATCGTTTAAAATGCTCGTTCCGCGATAAGGTAGCAACCCTGGTAAGAAGATTCAACTGGCGCTAAAAAAAGAATTAAACACGATTATCACTGCGTACGAAATTAGAACGCCTTAAAGCGAGGCGTGCCTGTATAAGTCGATAACGATCGGTGTTATTATAATACTTACGATTATTGTTTAGATTTAAAACGACGTCACATGTTCTAGGACATCCCTAACAGACGCTAGATCATCATGGGCCATCTGTAAACGTATAGAAAAGAAAATGATAATGAAACAGTGTTCGTCGTTCGTAAAGTGTGTGTTCTGTACATCTGTCCAGTGTAACATGTAACATGTTTCTCGTTGCTAGAGGCTGTTGGTACTCGTCCATGGGGCCGTGCGTTCGAGAAGAATATAATTAACTAATATATTGACTGAAGTAACAGCATCTTCCTTTTACCCCTCAGAGGACCGTGACTGGCTGGGTTTTGTTTATCCAGAGAGTCACGTGCTCCAAGAAGTGTTTACTCGTGAACTAATATATGTCTTAACCCTCTATTGCATAACGTGGTCTTAGCTCTTCTTGGTTAATAACCCCTGCAGGTTCAGGTATACGTTTAGTTTCGAGTATCGATATTAAATCATGGACGTATACATATGTGAGATTTCTTTTTGTAACTAATCAAAATCATAGTAAATTCCATGCAATCGAGGGTTAACAATTCTGTTTACTACAATTTTGTACAATTCGTTTCAAAATTCCTGTCTGTACTTTTAATAATCCTCATAGAAGGCTGTGTACTCTGAGGGGTTCTGGACGATCCTGACATTTCACGTGGCAAATAAAAGAATCATTTTCGAGACGTCGCGTAACGCACGGCCCTGCGAGTACACGTAACCGTAGTACATACTTATACCAAAAAGAAGAGTCGAAAGTGATCGCACTAGCACGTCGAACTCATTCGCATCTAGTCTAACGAGTGTAAAGTAGAACTCTCGAAATCTCGCGTTATCATGCACGCGCAGATCGATGCATGTATCTATAGTATCTTACATATACACTCATTGTCAATGTACGCACAAACATGGATTGTCGAGAAAAAGAAATAATAGTACGTTCGAAATAAAAAGCATATGTATCTGGATGCACCCAATGGTAGAGTCTCGATAACCCTTTAATGTCAACAAACAAAAAAAAAAAAAGAACGAAGCTGTCGATACGCAGCTGTCCAGAACGACGATTATCCCATATCCTGTCCGTTCTCTGGAAACGAACACGAGTACTAACTCATAGTAACGAACGTTAAGTACTCGTAACGATAACGAACAACCTAAACGCGCACAGAATGCATGATCGTTGGAAACTTCATTTATGTTGTTTGCTATTAAAAAGAAGGTCCTTTGCATGGGAATTTTTTGAGCATAAAAGTTTCGCGATCGGAGACTTCGTTATCGAGATATAAGCGGTCGAAGTTTGTAAGCGTGCAGACGCATGCGTAGCGACCACGTGTAGCAGCATGATCAGCTGACTGGGATACAAAATGGCGCATAGTTGAAGTAAACTTTAATTGCTTATATATAGATAACGAATCTTCGGATTAGAAAATGGTAAAGGACTTTTCCATTCCTTTTCTCGAGGGGAGTTCATTCTGAAAAAGAAAGAGTTAAAATTGAAATCACTGGAAGCTTCTGTGCGCGTTTCAGTCCCGCTTCTTGCACGCCCAGACCAACCGCGCTCGCCTTCCAGGGTCCCCCAATTCTGTAGCTGTTTGTCTGAATTTAGGCGACGCCGTCGGCTACCCCAGACCCCGGCTGTAGATCTGACCAAGAAGGCGGGGCCGAGTCGCGTCCCGAGTCGAAGGCAGAGTCCACGAAACCCGACGGTTCAGAGAGCGAGGAACGACAGCAGGAAGCGGCATCCTGCGACGAGGAGACCGTCGAGAGGGAGGCTGAGCGCGACGAGGAAGGGGACAAGGAACAATCGACGCGGGAGAGCGTTCTGAACGAGATCGAGAAAGAGATGGCCGACCTGGCGACGAAGGTCGACAAAGAGAAGATCAAGGAGCTGGTCAGCACGGAGATCAACCTGGAAAAGCAGCTGGAGAACGTTCAGAGACAACTGTTGGCCCTGAAGCAGCTACCCAGCGAGATCGAGAGCCACCTGAGGATCGTCTCCGAGCACATGCAGAAGATCATGGAGCTGAGCGGCGTACAGAACGGCGTACAGAACGGCGTACAGAACAGCGTACAGAACGGCGCCACCGCCGACGACACCGACGAAACACGCCTAGGTCAGGCTCGCTTGCTAAGATTGCTCTCCCGGGGGTCTCGATCGGTATACCGCGCGCATATTTTCAAATTTCACGGTGTTCGTAGCTCTTGATCCTCTGCCAAACGTTGCACGAAGCGGCCGGAATTCATTCGCAGCGCGACCAAAATAAACGACTGCTTCCCGCGAGACCTAAGTCGATAAAGAATTTCTGTATTATTTATGTATGGTAGTAGTATTTTTCTATTTTTAATTTTTCGTGGAATACTTTGACTGTATATGTACCTATGTTTCTTGAAATCGAGAATCGCGGCTGCGACCGAAGGATATTTGACGGAAACGATATTCCAGAGGCTGAGGAGCCCGTCGAGGAGGCGAAAGAGTCGGAGAACGAGGAAATGGACGAAACGGAGGATCAGGACGTGACGGAGTTCACCGAGGATTTCTCGTACACCGCGTACTACGACGAGCGCCAGCACACGCGGATAGTCGAGGAGCACGTGGAAGAAGAGGAAGACGACACCGAAACGCAGGAACTGGATGGAACGTTGTCGGTGAAGAGCGAGGAGGGAAGCAGGGTGAAGAAGTTCGTGGTCTCTTACGAGACAAAAGTTCTCAAATCGCCGAGTCCCGCGCCTTCCCATGGTAAATATTCGCTGTTCGATCGAATCTCTAATTCGCGTTGCAGAGAATTTAGTAACAGGACCTTGAAAAAGAATATTAGCTTAGGTAGAATATTAAGTTAGGTTTACAGGAGATTTTTATTACAAAAGTAATACTTTAATACAGGGCTTCTTAAATTATGGGTCGCGAGATTTTAACGTGAAATTTTTAATATTCTCTTTCATTTATCTTATTGCAGAAAATGCAATTTTTAATTTTCTATTTTTTTTTTTTATGTTTTTAAACAAATTCTAAAACTATATTTTCTCATACGTATATATATATCGTTACCTAATCAATAAATCATTACGAAATACTGACGTATCCTTATTTTATATTTTTTGGGTTGCGAAAAAAATCTCAATCATAAATGGGGTTGAATGAAAAAAGTTTAAGAAGCCCTGCTTTAACAAATAAGTGAAATCAAAATGATCGTCAAAGCCAGTGTTAAAGTCATACCATTTTCTTCGACTGAAGCTGTTTTACCAAGTAACAGTAACGCAAACGAAGCCTTGTGTATTGTAGGAAGTTTCGAACCAGACCCGAATCTAGCGCCGAAAGATCAAGTTATACAGGAGTTACAGGTATTCCAGAGAGTGAAATGGAATGTATATGTTACCTGTTCCCCTGGGATAATGTACTTGTTAATTGTATCGATGTCCTCCGTGAATTCCAACTACTCGTGCGCGGGTCTTCCATATCGAATAGGACTCTTGATGGAGTATCCTTCTGGATTTGGCTGAAAATTGATACAGTTTTTAGGAATATTCGGTATATCTCGTCTACCTCCACACGCACAAATCGAACAACCAATACTTACGATTACTATAACGTACACTATATTAACCCTTTGCACTCGAGAGGTGACTCTCAGTCATCACTAGGTTTTCTTTATGTTTAATTTCTTTGGAACTCGAAGGTGACCAAATCTCAAATCTCAAATTAGAGATCTCATTTTCGAAGTCATACACAGTCGGTGTAATAATTATTCGTACAGGAACCAATTTCAAATAAAACTTCATATATTTATTTTATAAATAAATTGTAGAGGAAGAAATAATTAAACAACATTCCAACATACTTTTAGAGTAGAACTTGGGTAAATTGAAATTTATTATTTTTAACGTTAACCTCTTATTTTTCTTCTCATTAATTTTATTTTAAATTAGTTGCTGTGCCAATAATTCTTACACTGACTGTAATCTTAGCATCCGTGGCAATAGAATGCTAAGAAAGCATCTCGAGTTGCTGGTAGATACCAGAAGATAGGCCTCGAGTGCAAAGGAGTTAATTTCAATACACCACGACACATGGGTACCGTACATTTCAACCGAATCCAAAATGTTGCTGTGAAATTCTGCTCGAGTATGAAACGACCCCGTATATTTTCGACTCGTGCGTCCCCCTTCGATATTCTTAATTGAACAAAATCAGTCGCCTTTTGGTGACCACCTCGGTTGGAAGTGAAAGCATCCGTGTCACGCACGTTACCTGGTGATTTTACCGTTAATTCCTTCGTGATACCATGAATTTCGATGTACGAGTGACGTCTCGCAATGTTTCCAGCAAAAGATCCAGCAAAGAGGGAGGAAACCATCGCAAGATCTCTGGCCCCAGGCTAAGCAAGTCGAACTGACTCTCGGGCGCAGATGGAGGTGCCCGAATGATTTCTTCAACGACGAAATGATCGCCGAGGTTCTATCTTCCCAGGCGGAAGTTATCCGAGGCAGAGCCCTAGGGTGAGGCTACCTTTTCTTGTCGATTCGACGGAAACAGCTTTCGGTTAATTCCTCGTGCTCGAAATCGGACGCGAGCGTTCCGTCTGACTCATCTTACGCTCGATGAACGGATGATTTAACCTGTTCCGCTATAACAAACACATTTACCAAATAAAATAATCCTGACGAACATTAACACGTGAGAAATTATTGTAACTGTGTCCTCCACTGAATCCTGATATTACAAATGGATGTAATCAACCGACAACGGTCGCACATGTATACAAATAGAACACTAAGGTACTAAAATTTTTATATTAATTCGCTACGCACGAATAATTCGTTAACGAACTTTTCTGATCATTCGAATAATTCTTTTTTTTTTCTGAGTTAACAGAAAACAGCACTCGTAATTCATATATGTACCTTATTAATAAAACTGAAGCGAAAATTGTGCCGTTCGTTACGAAAGTGACGCAAGTCCATTTGCCTCTTATTTCAAGATGGAATATATTTACCAGATGTTAAGGAACGTGCGAAGATGCGCCGAAGATATGTGTTCTGTTACCGCGAGTGGGCTTACGTTATTTTTATAACAAATGCTTTTCTCATTCTGCAATATTATTTCGCACGTTGCGGAAGCTCGCGATTAAGGATCCGAAAAGAAATTATGCGTTGGTAATCGTCGATAATTGATTGGCGCAGAGTGAACTTCAAGAAGTACGAGAAGACGAATCTACCGAACTACGATCACTTGATGAACTCCAGCGTTTACAAGATGATTCATAAGATGGACCGGGAGCCGAAGAAAGGAATTCCAGCCAGGCCTGCGAAAGTGAACGCCGCCGAGGACATCCTCGAGAGGGTCGTACGTACTCGACTCGTTCCTAACTCAATTAAACAATAACTAGATTACGGTAATTACAAACGCACTTCTCGCTTCCTATTTGTTCCAGAAATCTCCAGCGCTGAGCGTCGCGGACGACAGGAGTACTCGAAGCGTCAGTCATTAAGCCGACGAAAGGGAGACAAGAATCTCTTTTTCCTCGTATGCGAGAATACGCGACTCGTCGACAACCGAAGCCGACTAATGATTTAACGAATACGTACGCTGCGATTGAGTGTCCAAGTACAAGTGTAACGTTAACCATTAAGTATGTGTGCGTATATACATGTCTCCAACTGCAAGCATTGTCAAAAAAAAAAAGAAACGTTATGAGGATTAAGTGTTAATAAAAAAAAAAGGATTGATTCTTTTTCGTAACACGTTGTACCAGCGTTGTACCAACGATTCGGATCCAACGCCGTTCGCATGCGACAAAGACCTTTTGTTCAATTTTTTATCAACGATTACTAAACTTGCACGCAGCTGTTCGCATTTGGTCGGTTATATTCGCTTTCGACGCGGGGCACGAACATTTCCATCAGCCCAGTGGAAGGTGAAGTCATTCCAACCCATTCTTAACGCTAAACCTACCGTGACCAGTCGGTTACAGGTTTCAAACTTTTGTATACAGTTCTTATATGCAATATATGAATGATATACAATTGTTTCATACATTATTCAATTTTGTGTACAGTTTATATGCGGTTCTTATATGCAATACGTGAATCGTATTGTTCCATGCGTTATTCAATTTAATTTCAAATATTAATTGAAAAGATCAAGACCAGTCGTCTGTCCCATCACAGAGATAGGAATAGTTATAAATGAAACATCGGTGGGTTTAGCGTTAATACTCCGATTCATTCTAACAAACCATCGATGGAACCATTTCTGTTTCATCCACCCACCCAAGTTACTTAATAACGAAGAATACTAAAATTGTAAATACGCAGTAGATGTATTACATTCAGTCCAAAATAATTCAAGAACTCGTGTCTGTGAGACACGAAGGGTTTCCCCGGGGGTCTGACGCGAGCCTCACGGACTCGACGATAAGCGCTTCATCTGGGTCACGTCGCAATCCTTTCCGTCGTGACGCAACGACCGCAAGCGATTCTACGCGATTCCACGCAAGATCCTTTCGCGGAATCGGATATCCGAGGACGTATCTACCAGCCGGACGGATGAGTCGCGCGCATGCTTTCACCTTTCCGGAGTTTCCGACTCTCTTCGCGGCCCCCGGTGTCCTCATGCGCGCGGAGAGGCTGAGTCACTTCTGCCTCGCGGCCAACGAGCGTTCTTTCTCCGTCCTGCTCGCGGTGGTCGCCTCGTGCTCGGGGTCCGAGAACGTGACGTCGGTCCCGAGCAATTTATGTAAAGCATTCTAGGCATGATTCACGAACTAGTTCGCGCCCTCGTGACCGCCACCGGCGCTGAAAATGCAGCCAACGCCGCTCGACACCACGAAAATGCTCGTTCGACTCTCGCCGGTCGCGGGATGAGCTTCGGATCCTCCCACCTCGGTCATTTCCAGTCACGATCCACAGGAACGTTTTCACGTACGGTCAAAGAGCCAGTGGGAGAGACTCGAGGCTCTTTTCATCTAGAAGAATTACTTAGGGGTGTTTCGTTAATTTTAACTGCGTCGCTTATAGATTACATCCCTTAATGTTAGTTCTTGCAGTAACCGTGTTAGAATCCTGATTCGCATAGTCCACTTCCAGTAGTTCCAGGCCATCAGTAGGTGCATCACACGACCGCTTTCTTTATCTGCAAAATAGAGACGTTATCAGCCGATCAATCTTATCGTCGAGTGGACGCTGATTCACTTTCGACTGGCGCACACCGATGTCCAGTAACGCAAAGGGAGAGACTCGCGGTGCCCGTTAGCCAATCGATCGTCGGGCCGACTGGGATCGCGAATGAATTATGGCGACGAGAACTGCATGGGCGGACGGTGCACCGAGCAAGGTGCTTCTCGCCAGGGTCGAGACACCGGGAGCAACGACAGAAGGTGGAGTGGTAAGAATCAGCACCGTCGGAGGAGGAAAGGGAACGACGGAAGGAAAAGGACGAAGAGAAATGTCGAGAATGCCATCCCGATACCGCGTCTTCCTCTTTATCCTCCTCCTTCGCGCTGCTTCACTCTTATTTCCTTCGTGTCCCTTTTTCTCTCGATTCTGATCCTTTCGTCCCGGCTTCTCAAAATCTAGAGATTCTATAGCGGTCCGAGGATGGAATGATAGAGTCTAATAGAAGATAGTAATTACCTTTTACTTAGTTTTGTTCTGTATATGTTTGGTGACTTCCTGATTCACCGTTTTTTCTTCAATGACCATAATAAATATCTGTAAAAATATTAAACGTTTTAAAATGATAAATCTGAAGCTTCCAACTTTGAATCAAATGTTGACTACAATCGTCCTTGCACCTCTGGAGCTTCTCCTGCAGCCTCCCCTTTGGGTTCCCGGTGTTCGAAACACTTGTACACTTCACTTCTGTACTTCGATGACTTCCTGATTTGCCATTCTACCTTCAAAGACCATAATAAATATCTGCAAAAATATTAAACGTTTTAAAATGATAAACCGCCACCTTTTCAAACATCTTAAGCTTCGAATGAAATGCTACCTAAATTCGTCTCAGCTCTGGTGATTCTCCCGTGGCCTCCCCTTAGGGCTGGTCGAGTTCAAAGTATCCGAATCCGCCAATTCGCGCGATCCACTCCAGAGGAGCGTCACTTGCAGCATCCACAGCCGAAATAGATAGATCCTGATCGGTGTTTCCTTCCTTTTTCCGCTTGGGAACTCTGCCCTCCACTCGCCACGACGGCTTCCCATCAACCCCCTCTCCCACGGCGATTCCGGATCGCGTTCTCGTTCCTTCCCGCGTGCGTTGGGTCTCGATCTCCATCCCCGCCCCTAGCGCGAAGTCGCGGCAGAGTCGAATCGGATGGAAGGAAGGCAGCCAGGCAGGCCCCGCTGGCCGACTGACCGTCCTCGACGTCTGTTATACCTTTACTCCGGTCTGCGCGTTCTTCAGGAACGTACGTGCCGTTCTCCCTAACCGCGCGACACCGCCTCCTCGCTAAAAGGCAGACGTCAACCGTGACCGACTCGGTGCAACGTGCATTCTCTGGTTCCGCTAAGAAATTTTCGTTGGTTCACGATAAGAGTCAAAGCAGAGGCTGTTCTCTGTTAGTTTGTTGCATCCTGCGCTTGTTCGAGGATTCAGTTTTTATTCGTCGACCCAGGTGAACGGTATATAAACCAGTGATAATGGCTCAGCTGATCAGCGTCAAGCTCTCCAGGTTCGATGGATCCCCGTGGGGCTTCCGTCTTCAGGGTGGAAAGGACTTTGGCACCCCCCTGGTCGTGCAAAAGGTAAGTCCTGGTTTTGTTCTTCGCGCGGATCACCTTGCTCCCGGGGTCTCGACGTTCCTTGCACGGTGGATTCTCTGGTGACCGTTCTGGTCTTCAGGGTCGCGCGGGGGACGTCTGACAGGCTGTAATAAGGGAGACAAAGTTTTATTCGTGTAACGGATAACGAAGAGGATCAACGCGTAGCAATTCATTCGTGGCGTTGGATGGCTAGATCTTTAAAGCAGTTGTGGAAGAGTTAGACAAGCTCATTTAACAGTGGTTTTACTCGTGATTAGAGAAGTAGTTCGCCCGGCTATGTTGACAGGATCGGTTGAGACGTACAGATTAACGCGATTTAACTCTTTTTAATAGTCTTTGGATTAGTCTCCCGTAGACGCGTATTTAAGATATATTGTAGGAGGTTTGCAAACATGGATTTTTTAAACAAACAGTGATTAGCAGGGATATGGGTGGCCACCATGTGGCACTCTTGCAAGGTGGTGCAACCGTCCGGTAGTACATTGTTCAAGAAAATGTGCCGCAAAGATGACGTCGTGTCCATTTTGCGAAATGTGATTTTCATTGGGCTGGACGACGATCTATTGATTGAAACAATTGCCGATAAATAGATCGCTATGTCGCTGTTTCGCGATACGTCCACGGAACGTCGACTAATCGTCGACGATTCGAAAACGAAACCTTGCGAGCTAACGCAACTGACACCTCGGTTTACGTGTCGCGAACAGAAAATACAAACGATTTAAATTCTTACTCGAATATGAAGATAAATATCACCGTTCCAGGAAACCGATACCTCGCCCATAATTTATCGGGTTGATAATTTATCTCGATCGATCGATGCAACTCTGCTCTTTTACGTGTAAACTTAGAGTGTATCTGTGACGTCACTATCAGTTTTACCGCGCGTATGTTTCAGTACCTAGCTGTTAACATAGGCCAACGTAATGTAGCGATTAAACTATTCGAATATTATGTTTCTATGAGTATTAATACACTCATTGGCTCTCTCATAAATAAATAGATTGGAAACTGCGATATCGGAGATATTTTTCAAGATTCTTGCGCAATTCGGTGGATCGTCTCAGACTTCGAGACTAACGAGGAAGCGGCGACAGCCGAGGATTACATTGGAAGAAAAAAATGATGCTTTACGAGCTCGAGGCTCGTCCTTTTCCACCGTCAACTGTCTGCAAAGCAACGTTACGTAATCCGCCAGCAAACGCCAAATTATTTCACGCGCATCGGTAGAAATCGCTGCCAACTACGTGCGAAACGCGCGGCTCGTCGCCGCCGCCGTGTTTTGGCGACGAGGCACGCTGTAACACGAGAAGCTTTTGGCTAGCATCGCGCCACGAACTTTCGAACGAATTTTCAAAACTTTCTTCGTTTATTCCATCGTCGAATTGTCCATCAGCGGCTCCCTCGACGACGAACGGATGGATGTCCTCTCGGTGCGCGTTCGTCCCTCTTGGCCTCCTTACTCGCTGTCATTGTCAGGTCTATTATTAACGAATATCGCAGCTCGTTGAATCACCTACGAAGAAATATATAAAATAAGGAAAAGTTTACGTACAGAACACACAAAATTATAGCGCAAGTCGAACTAGGTCAAGAGTGGGTAATTAGGTTACGGTAACGTAACCCAAAATATCGAAGTAAACAGTGAACACTATTTCGTTCAGCTTTGCTCTAATAATTATCGAGGAGGCTCGATCCTGATCATGGTACAAAATTTATCGAAGAGTGTTAATTATAGGAATACTCCAGGTTTCAAGTGTGAAAATAGGAATATTCCCATAGCGATATTCGGAAAAATTAGTCCAGCGATACAGCGATATTAGCGATCCAATTAAAAGCAGAGAATCTACAGTAGCTTTTCTACAGGTTCGAAGGTAATTTTCAGTCGGAATCCGTCGCCGAGAGCGCGGCGCGTGCTGGATTTTTGCTCTGTTCGCTCGCGAATGGCCGTTCCGCAGAAACGGATCTTGAGCGCGGGTGGATCCTGTCCCGAAAGGCGTTCAACAGTTTTATCTTGCAATCGACGTTTCGAACTTGGCCTTCTTAGCGGCACGTGCTCCGTTTATTTTACGAGGCCACAAATACGACGCCCGTCCGCCTCCTCGGAGCTTCTCGGAAAGGAGAGAAATACGAGTCCCCGGATGTCAGAGAATCCTACCCGAAGCTAGATTACGGATTAATCGTTTGTAATCGCTGTAACGCAGCTCGCTATTTCCAAGAGAACGTTCATCCTGAAGTAAACAACTGAAAATTAATTTCAAACCCTAAGGCTGTCTATAATTAAACAGAACACACCTTGCATTGTCTTAGATATAAGGCGTGCTTTTTCCTTTCGGATAAATAGCAGAAACACGACGCGTGGTTCTCAGGCTGGACCAATAAACACTCCCGCAAGGTTTCGTCAAAAATCAACGTCTGACAGTTCGCAGTGTTACCCTGCCAGCGGATGGGGGCGTCGTAAATTCCAAAACGCAAGCCCCTTTCGCAATTTTATGACATCAACAATTACCTGTATATACCGCTCGCGTCGAGACTTTACGCGTAAACGTACTCAAAACGTTGTTAGTATATTAGTACTCTCCCGAGAATGGTCCAAGATTTACGGCCTCTGTTGCATATTTCCCAGCTAACGAATGGTTGCGTTGTCTTATAGCGCAATTTTTTTTAAGACACGCGTTGCCATTGGATCTAATAGAGACTGGTGCTTATACTGGAGACTTTCTATTTCATCGTTCAAAGGATTTCAATAAAATTGCAAAATATATGGCTAAACGTTGAGTTTCATTTGCTCTCACAATAATTTCTACTCGAACAATTGAACGTCATCGTTGCTTTAAACGTTGTGAAGAGAATTGAAAATTGAATTGAGACGCGAGTAAAAAGCGCGAAAAGGAGAAAGATGAAGAGTCAGAGCGACGGAGAGAAAGAGAGAGAGAGAGATAGTCAGCGACGCGTCGCTGGTAATCCGAGGCAAATTATTTGGGCGTTCTATTTCTAGAAGGTGCCTTTGCGAAACGCGCGAGCCGGGTCGAGCCCCGCTCTCGCGAAGACAACGACGAAGACGAAGGCAAACGTCGACGACGACGTTGTCGTCAACGGCTACGGGCTTCCTGGGCCGCGTTGGTCACCGCGAAAATAAATTTTTCGTCGGAGGGAGCGATCTCGGTGTCGATCGATAAAAATACCGATCTACGACGCGCCACGTGCGTCTGTCGCTCGGCCCGCTCGTGAAGCTGCGGGGGAAAAAGGAATCCAACGGACGGAGCCCCAGCGGGGCTGCGAGATTCACGGGGGAGAGACGCTTCTTCTTCGACGAGCTGCGTGTGAAATTCCTGACGGGTCGTGGAGCGATCTCTCCAGGCTCTGAAACAACGTATGCAATTAGTTGGTCGTGTTCAATAATCATCACACGATTGAAGGGTTAAATAATAGTGTCTGGGACAAAGTCACCCTTCGTTATAACGCTACAGCTGCGATGTCTACATATTCTGGGTCAGTCTGTAAATAACAGAGATCTTGTGGCGCAATTTTACCAGACCTGAAACAAAGTATACAATTAATCGTGATTAATAATCAACAGACGGTTGAAGTGATAAGAATCGCTGCGACGGAGGGTTAAATAATAGTGTCTTAAACAAAGTCACCCTTCCTTAGTCGTGCCACCTATTCTGGGCCAGCCTGTAAATAACAGAAATCGCGTTTTCGTTCTCGTTCTCGTAATCTCCGACGAACAGCTGCCCGTATCTCGGGCGAGGAGGTTTCCGCGATTCCGCTGCACCGAACGCAACGGTCGGTGCAACGTGGGCGCGTTTGTTACGCGATATGTGTATTTCGTTCGCTTATTATCGGCCCGTGGAAGGACTCGGCATAAATTCTGCGTGTCGTTAGCCGATTATAGCGTCGCGTAGATAACGCGCGCTCGTCATTAGCATTCTTTTCTGTTTCGCTGGAAGAGCTCCCGGTGGCTAATTATTCGTCGCAGTTAACGAGTACCAAGGACGCGCACGAATGATTCAAAAGATAAATAAGCGAACGTCCACATTACACGAGCGTCGTTTAACTTCCCTATCGACGTAGATTGTTCGATCTATTATTGAAACTCGTTTCGGTGTACGAACAAGCTTATTCTATATACGAGTATAACGTCTGGAAGGATATTGTGATAGATTAATATCATAATACCTTTTAGTGCAGAATTACAAAGTATACAATATCATAGCAAGAGAGCTTACTCTATATACAGTCTGCATTGTTGTTATACTTTGAATAAAATAAACTATACAAAGTTCTTGTTGTAAGCAATCAAAACTTAAAAATTAAGAATTCGTCCCTCAAGAGGACAATATTGTCGCAGGACAAGCTTATTATGCATTCGTATGCTATTATCTTGGAACAAGTTTAGTGTATATTCATATTATATCATGATGCAGCATAATACAGCATATTATAGACGCATTCAAAACTCTGCATATAAATACAGATGTATATTGTTGCCGTAAGGCAAACTTCAAATGTCGATCGAGTTTTCGTCTGTAGTATCAGCCTTCTCAGCAGAGGAATATCTAGAAATATACAATAAGAAACGTATAAAATGTTGAAAGAGAGTTGGACATTGGGCTACAAATACTTTTCGTTTACTTCGATTTTGAATCACTGACAGAAGTGGACCGTCTGGAAATTTCACTCGAGAATGCACTTTTAACGAGACCAATTACTGGTCTCATTCTCGAGGGACGAATCACCGATAATTCACCAGCTGCAAGCTAATACGTAGGTACCCCGAGTCGATGGCTTAATGACCGTTGTCGTTGAGGGATTTGCTTAGTTCAAAGTTTTAAAGATACTATCGAACACATCAAATTAAAAATCAGCCAATACCTTCGAATAGTCCTACAGATCATATCTCCGTGCATTAAAATAATTGGGATATATTAGGAAGAAGCTGTTACATGTGTACACGATGAAGGACCTGGAAGAATTAATCAGGATTAATGTAGATTAATGGCGTTTCCATTTTGGAATAATTTGTTACTTGCGACACTAGCAGACGCCGCGTGAACTAATCCATGCGAGTGGCTCAAAAATTCGTATGCGATTTATACTTTCGGGTATCGTCAATTGTAACATTCTTGCCTTCGCAAGTATTCGACTCCATTAACAACACTTGATTTATTATAAATAGATGGTAGCTTCCTTTCCCAATCTCGATGATTTTCCCGCCTTGTTGAAAGATAATTCCAGATAATTCCTATCGGGAGAATAATCCGTAAAATATGTCTGATTTTCACGGAAGGGCTAAGATCAACAACGTTACGCAACGATCGTCACCAACAGGTAGCCCCAACCTCGGTCGAAAATACTATCTGAAGGAGGGACTTCCTTCCGATAAAGGTTAACACACGAATGTGGCAATAGCTGGGATTTTGCCAGGCAGCGTGGGATGAAAACGGATTTACCGTATCGCCGTTGAAAAATGAAGTATCGCTCGTCGCGTGAAACGGATTCGAAGTAAATTATGTACACCGTTCCCTGCTAAACATAGAAACAAACTTTCGTAAATATGTTTTGGAGGACGGCCTCTATTAAAAGAAACGTCGCCCGAGGGGGACGCGCGTTCCGTATGCGTGTTTTTCGAAATGCAACGCGAAAAGTTACGGGTACAAGGAAAACCCGTGGAGCAGAGGAGGATAAGCGCGCGTTCCTCGGTATCGGGAACGATATTTTCGTCATTATCGAAAATAAGCCGTCCGCCGTCGAGTCACCGTTCGCGAATTCTGTTTATGTCTACCCAGGCCCCCGATTTCGTGGCTCGTTGCACACGAGAAGCGTAATCGTTGCTCGACCGAGTTGCATGGCCCGATTTGTTTACGAGTGGCGTACACAACGTCCCAAATTAAACGATATAAGGTAAATGTACCAATTGTCGGCACGTTTCGCGGCCAGGCGGTATTTTTCACTTGGGTGGTGTAAGATTACAGTGTATACGGAGCTCTTATAGGCCGCTGTACAAATTTCGAGCGACTGTTACGTGTATTTCACTGTATCTTTCGAAAGAGAAGGCATTTCTCGGTTAGTTACGGCTGTCGATCATGTAGCATGGGTCGTAAGCGTGGAAGTTTTACATTTACGAGAAACATTTGGCACGTGTATTTTGGTTCAGCCTGTACAAGCGGGTGCAGTCCGCGAATTCGAATCCGGCGCAGGATGTCGCCGGCTGCACTGCACCGAGTGCAACGTCGTAATTCTGCCGAACGATACAAAAAGACCACCACGGGGCGCTACGGCTTTCCACGAAGGCCGCATTTGTCGGGATGTTGTTCATCGAACTCTGAATCGAAGCGGAGAAAATTGAGCGTCGTCCACTCGATTCATTTAAGAGTTTGTCACATTTGCCACGACAAAGATTCAACAAATTCTCGTCTGTAAAATAATACTTTGCATTCTTAAAAGTACTACAAAACTGGGTTATTAAAACAAGAAAATTGTAATAACGACAAAAATAGACTTCAGCATTATATTGGGGAGTGTCGATGCCCCCTAACTAGGGTGTATTCTAACTAACTTTGCATTTTACGAGATAACAGTCGTTCAACTATAACGATGAAACGAGTTGTTTACTGCACAAATCGGTTAACACCGCTTTTTGAAAAATCTTGAATGTAAGTATCAAAGCACTTGGTATAGCCAACATTTTATATTTATAATAACCTTCCTGGATAATGAAGATCAACGCCATTAAACGACAACATTTTTCTGACCATTCAATAATAAATCATTTATTTCAGAGGCCATTTTTATCGCACTTCTCAACTTTTAGTCGATTTGTGCAATGAACGGTTCAAATAATCTTCGTTTGTCACCGCGCGACAGTCAATTAGGACGTAGGGCCAGTTGACACATCCAAAAATACCAAAATACCTGAAACGCACGTCTTCTTACACTCGACTAATAAATTAATATCAACTGTTGTTGGTTCGATGATGGAGGGTGGCCGTCGAGGAATGCCTGGCAACTCCATCCGCGGCTTGGCAATCGTCGAGACCCCTGGCAACGGAGATAGGCAAATCTCTTATCTAGTTTATCTGTGCAACTATCGCGGAAAAATCGTTGTAAACTAGACATATAAAGTTATAACCTAGGCTTAATTAATTTGATCCAATCATTGATTACAATTTTCGTTGCACTCCACTGCAACGACGATTGCGAAACGTGTCGAGGATCGGGACGTTTACCTTTCAACGTTTTTATTCGTTTATTATTAGGATAAAACGTTGAAATTTGTTCACGGTGAGTGTCGCACCTCTGTGTTTACCAGTTTCGTCGATATCGGTTGGAACACATAAAACGTTCGATTATCTCCGTTCTTGAGAGTGGTTATCGCGTTCCTCGATGCGTGTGCCGTAACCACGCTATCGGCGTAATTGCATACTTTGCGAAACGCGTTGGCCAAAGTTCCGTGTTTTCAGCGTTCCATGGAAAAAAAAAGAAGCGAATGAATTATCTGCGAACAATAAATCGTTCTAAACTTGACATAGTAATCGAAGTGGCGCAAAGGCCGCGATGTCAGGCGTTCGCAGGCACGCGTGCATCCCAAACGGCGTTGTTGAAGAGGAACAAATATTTCATTCTTGAATTGTTCGATGCATGGTATACGCCACGGTATACCGAGCCACTCGTACGACCTGGAACAGTTAAGAAACATTGCAGAACTTGGTGACCGAAGGATTGAAAATCGAGTTCCGATGGAGCAAGACACCCAGTATGTAAAGTAATTGTAACATCGGTGTTTGGCTAATGGATACAACGAGCTCCTGTGGCTGTCTTGGCCCGCATTTTCTGAAGATACACATTTTGAAAGAAGGGACCACGGTGACTCCGTTGCGCACGGTACCAAAATTACTTTGGCACGTGATAACACATGCGGTTTAAAAGATGAATCTTACATTGTTATTTGTTGAAGAAGAATTGCAATCCAAATTATATTAACATTCAATTGCAAAACGCGATTCACATCACGATTATTTCCACGTAATTGTTTATAGAACGTTGGCATATCCTGTACTCGTCATAAAATTCCGTTCGGCTTGGGTCGTGAATTCTTCGAACGTCGACCGTATGCATATGTAAACGGCTGGTACCAGTTTTTCGTCGCGGCAAACACGATTTTTCAATTGTTCGAACAGTGTCCGCCTGGAAGGCAACGAAACTCGTTCGCTATATATATATATATACACATATAATTTTCTTTTTTTACCTTTTGCGAGCAAATGCAAATGCAGTCAAGGACACAGCGGCGTGCAATCGTGGGCGCAGACGTCGACAACTTCGCGATAAAAGTGCTCGACATTGTTCGTTGGCCAGTTTATTTACTCGATAAATGTATCGCGTCGAGGGGAGCCGGTCGTTCCTTCCTTGTTGGTATTTTAGAGCGACCAATACCGCAATGTTGAAAGTTGATTTATTGGCACAACAAGTTTTGGCTCTTCGTTCTTGATTCGTTTATCGCTAATTCTGCAAGTTGGATTAGCGTGAAAGCTTCTATTTCTTATGTAGGATATCAAACTAATTTTTCTTTAGGAGTATGCTGATCGATCGTTTTACTCACATAGTGCACATGTATATCGTCCAAGTAGTTTGCCTGTTTATACTATCTACGTTGTGGATACTTGACTGTTTATAGTTCATACAGTCCAAAGGCATGTTACTTTATGTGGCTATTCTAGTCTGAAACTTTCAAAATGTCGATTTCCCATTTTCTCAAAGTGTACACCCTTAAGAATATATCTGCCATAGAATTTTCTTGTACTATTTTTGTTGTGCACTTGTGCTACGTTTAATTTTTAATTATTTTTACCTGAAAAAGAATTGTGTACGTTCTTAAAATGTGAATAAGCATGTGTGCAAAACCTTTTATAAAAATTCTTTGAACTAAAAATTGACGCTCTAGATTAAAATACCCCCTTAGTTACTTATTTGTCTCAAAGTACCAAGTTATTGCATTTAATACTGTATCCACAAGGAGACCTGTGTATTAAGAATCAAGTTACAGCATTTAATGATGCACCCACAGCAACGAGCCGTCCTGCAGAACTGGGTTGAAATTGGAGAACAGGTGGAGTCCTTCCTCTGCGAGCGTCGCGCAAGTTGGGATTTCGCGGAAGCTGGACGGCGGAATTTTTTTTTCCCCGATCGGGAGGCTCTCTTTCCGGTGGCCGATCGTTGGTCCGCCTGTGCGAAGAGAATTGCTGCGGAGGCCGAAAGGAAGCCCGGCCCGTGGATATTAATAGAGACCGAGGCCCGGTGGCGTCCGCCACCGACGAGCTTACACCCGTGGATATAAAAATATCGCTTTTATTTCTCACCGTGTCCTCTCCCCGACTACACCGTCTTTTTTACCGTTTTCCCGACGCCACGCAACTCTCTTTTTATTTTACACGATTACTCCACCGCGTCGCGAGCGCCCTTTCATCCCTCCTCCCGCGTTCTTTTTCGCTCTCTGCAACAACCAGCTATAACGATCGCTTCTTAGCGATATTTACGATCCGAGGAATCCGTCTTATCGCCCGTAAATTCCATGACGTCGCTGCTGGTCGTTGGTTCCGGTAGGACGACGTCTTGATCGCTACTGAAATATTGAAAATATAAAGCAATAGGGTTAGCTATTATTTTGCTGTAACGATTGTAATTGACGCTTTCAATTCTGGAATATTGAAAAGTCAGAGTTACTTCGTGAAAATAATCTGAAGCTCTTGAAAATGTTTAGACCTCGAGACCTTGTGGTGCGATCCACCTAGCCTCTTTCTTTACTACAGCGATTGTAATTGACGCTTTCAATGATGGGTTATTGAATAATCAGACTTACTTCATGAAAATGATAACCATAACTAAATACGTTATAATTGAAGCACGTGTGCGTCTGTCACGCCATCAGAACTAGACTTTGCTTGTTTCGGCTATCGCGTACACGGGCGCCGCCCTCACGTGGCCCAATATACTAATCGTCCGAGTACATTATAAAAAAAAATAGTCTGAAGCTTCTTGAAATTGTCTAGACCTCGAGGTCTTGTGGTGAGATCTATCTACGCCTTTACTTTGCTATAGCTACAGCGATCGTAATGAACTCCTCTCGATCCTGAAATATTGAAAAGTCAGAATAACTTCATGGAAATAACGAACCTCACCGAAAATGCTTCGACCTAGCAATCTCGAGGTCCATCGAGAGAACCCCTGCCTCGAATGGTGGCGGATCGAGAAATGTTTCGTCTTCGCGCGCGTTATTTACGGGAACTGAACATTATCTGAACGATTGTTATCGGTGGTTCTCTCGCGTTGTCAGCATCGCCGAACCGAGAAAAGCCAGACGAGGCGGAGTGAAATTGTATCTCGATGACGGAGTCGAAGATTTAGGAGCGCCATCGTAAATGCCGATTCGATTTCGGGAATGAAGGAGGGACGCAGTGGGAGGCAGTTGTGGGAAATTTGCCAAAAGTCGAACCAGAAATCAGTCTTCTCCCGTATGTTTGGTCGTTGGTAGAGTAGCGCCTCGTGAATTCGTGGGTAACACGACACCCCCGTCGTCTCGTAATCGCCCCTACGTTACGACGTTACGCGAACTTGAAATTCGTCGCATCTTTTACTGCTAACCCATGTACGTATAACTAATATTCTTCGGTAACTCGTTCTAAGATATCCTAAGGAAAGAAAAAGAAAACTTTTCAGGTAGAAAAAGGAATTCTTTATGTAGCTACTTTATTAATCTCCTTATCTTACCTATCAAGTGCTATATTCCTTTGGTGTAGATTATCGAAGATAGCGCGAACAAAAATGATTATCTCCTGTAATGAAAATATAATTACTGTCGTTGCGTTCGGCGAATAAAAATTCTGACGAAGCTTCGATAATATTAATCGACTTCGTTACACTCTTACCACTCCTTCGGTTCTTTATCAGCTGACGATGAAGCGAGGTGAAGCTCATTCCCGGCGTTCCTACGGCGTCATCGACGAGACCGACTGGAGAGTCTTGAGTTCGATTCTTGGGTCAGCACAAGGACTCTTTGTGGCTCTCATCGACATTCTTCCGGACGGAATGTGTCATCGAGCCTAATCGCGACACCTCCAAGGACCGAATCCCGCTTTGACACATCCGTTGACCTCGGTTTCCTGGTCCCGAACCGCACAGGTTAAAAACTACCGCCGCAGAGGTTGTCTCTGAGTTGGCAGCTTATAAAAGGTCTCTTTGTGATTGAACTTGATTGATATTATCCGCACCGGCGCAGATGCGAGGGAGACTCGAGGCTTCCACTTGGTAGGCTCGGATTGATGACGTGTACCCTACCAATCGGAAACCCTACACCTACCTCGCGTCTGTGGTGCCATGGACAGGCTCATTTGAACCGAGTGTACCTCTCATAAGCATCCTTCTCGGCTGCCAACGCGATATCGTCGCGAAAAATTGCGGAGCATCTGAAACTCTCGAGGCATCGACGTCATGGATAGTCAGCCTTCCGTAGAAGGAGCTTTACCATTCGACGCGTATCGTATTGTTACACATCATGCACGCGAACGGCGCCCGTCCAGCTGGTTCGAAGAGATAAGGCCAGGTCGATCGTAGACCAATAATTTCGACCTGACGTCACTGTCTATTTCTTCCACTCCACCTTAGGACAACAAAGACCGTTGACGTCTCCGCCGCCATCCAAAGTTCCGACGAATCGAGAAATATAATTAGAATGATGCTGCCAGTATCCACGAATGCGTTGGATACGTCAGCATCTAAAATCGCCTAGTTTTCCGATATATGCACCGTAGCTGGAAGCTGGAGCTACTGAAGCATTAAAGTCCTATATTATATGAATTTAATATCATTTATTTTCAAAGATATTCCTCTGGATATTTCGTAACTAGCTTTCTCTATTAATTCCTATGCTACAGGAACGATTCAGGGTGATTCGATCGTAGGAACATCGTGGCTACATTAAAATGGACGACGAAACGGGAGCGAGTCCGAAGAAAACGCGAAAGTATCGGTGACATATTTCTTTGGAACCGCGTTCCCTCTCGTTCGGTCCGATTAAAACCGGTGTCACTGACCGCTAGGCCCGTTTCCCTCCCCTGTTTTCGGCGTCCACGTTTTTCGAGCGTGTACCAGCCGCGAGTATGAACGAGCCTTAAGCCCTCAAAGTGAGAGAAAGAAAAAAGACCAGAGATGCATTCCAAGCATGGAAGGTGGGATGGATCCGTCTCTGATAACCCGCCCATTGGAATGCGTACCTCGTACACCTTGGCGTGTATTCTCCCTCTCGGTTCGACTGCATTCAAGTGCATCTTACTTGCACCGGCGTCACACATATTTCGGGTGTATTTTTAGAATGCGTCGTTATTAATAATACCTTGAGCCCTCCGGCTACCGAAGGCACGCGCGTGTCCTCGGGAAAATTCCTCCGTTCGTCTCAAAAACGCCAATGAACTGCGCGTTATTGTCGTCTGGTGTACACAGACGAAGACGAATTACTGGGTTAACGTTTTGTCGATGGAAAATTCAACTGAGACTCTGCACTTCTCTATCGGACTGTTCAATTTCGCTTGTATTGTAACGAATAGCGTTCTTCCGCGACTTTGCCCGCGGATGTCTCGTTATAATAAATTCTGTGGTATTCTGTTTTGTTGCTGGGAAATTCAACCGAGACTCTGCACTTCTCTATTAGACTGTTCCATTTCGCCTGTATTATAACGAATAGCGTTCTTCCGCTACTTTGCCCGTGGATGTCTCGCTGTAATATATTCTGTGGTATTCTGTTTTGTTGCTGGGAAATTCAACCGAGGTTCTGTACTTCTCTATAGGACTATTCCATTTCGCTATTCCGTAAGACTACCTCATTTACATAAAATGTTAAATTTAGAGCGTGGATGACGTGAGTGTGTTGATTGTATATCGAAGTGATGAAGTGAATGGATCCCATTCTTCTGCACGTCTCGCTGTCATTGTATATTCCACAGTCCCTTGCGAAAGGCCTAATGTAATTAATCCCGAGCCTGGCTACGAAGCAACGGTTTTTATCTCGTCCATTTCCAGATCGATACGGCTCCATTACGGGGTAAAGCTGCTTATCCAAAATCGTCGGTGGCTATTATTACGCGAGGCATGCGCCCAGGCAGCAAAAGACCGTGCACGCACGGAAGCCACGTACACGTCCAAGAGTACGGCGCGTACTCGTTCATTCATCGCGGTCTCGCGCGGTGGCAAAGAGGCGTCCGTGTCTCGCAGAATGAAAACGGTCGGTCCGATATGTCATACTGTGCAAGACTATGCCCGCACCAAGGTGCATCCTATCCCTCGGTTTGGCTTGTTCGAGGTGTACGTACGAATAAACGGCGTACGTGTTCGGGGCCCTATTTTTAGAACGGTCCGGGACTATTTTTAGCAGGCAGGCTTTCACGGTGCCCACAGAGCTTAACCCTGACTTTACGTCCTACGTCTTCGTGGACCTAGGGACAGCCGAGGGGCTGGTCGAGAGGTTCCTTGGCTCCTGATAGAGGTCAATAGTTGATCGCCATCGTCGTTCTCAACAACAATTGAGCCCATTACACAGGTGTTCGTAGGCTCTTGATAGGTTCTTGTAAGGGTAGATTGTAGCTTCCCTATGTTTAGGTGAAGTCCTGAAATGAAAGTCTTCGTATATTTAATTGAATTTATCTTAATAGTTGCACATACCTTTTCTGTCCTTGACACACCTTTTATTATACGTTCAGAAACTTGCGCTTTTAACCAGACGTTATTCTCTCTGCTGTTTACTCCTTACTTACTCACTTAGCCTAGATGGATGCGGGCCGGAAACTTGGCGCTGCATGCGGCGGATCACCAATCTAAAAAATTCAATAACCGGTCAATAACAGTCGACACTACAGACTCCAACAAAAGCCATATTCGTAGGCTCCTGCTCTTGGAAAAGACCATCGAGGTTGCTTCCGGTCTTCCTAGAATCTTTTCCAATTAATCATAGAGGCATCTAGGATCCGAAAGTAGGCGAGGCCATGCAACACACCGTTATCGGCCAAGAATTCGCGAAATTCTGATGATTCTCCCCCAGCTCGAGCGGCAGCGTTGTTGATAATAACGTGCACGGCAAACGTATCCAACTATTACGGCAACAACGATGACGCAATTTCGCGGTTCCTATTTCTGGAGGCAGACGCGTGAATCGAACGAACGACTCACCCTCTGGCCTGATTTCGCTTCTGTGACGCGAGCCTGGGTCCAGGGGGGAAACACGAACAGCTAATAATTAGAAACGTGGCCACCATCTCAGCCTACATTTTCGAGCAGGCTGACGAACGCGATGGTGAACGATGACGAACGATTGAATTTGGTGCATTTTAAAAGCATCCACTAGCTTGTTCTCGCTACTAGACTTCCAAGCTATTGGGATTATCACTTATTTTGAAGCCATTCATTTTTATTTTTATTCCGTGGGCTACGACTCGTATGGTTCCACTTAAAATTTCTGATTGCACCATTTAATTTAGAAAGTGAGAATCTCAACTCCAGCTGGAACTAGAGAGCCTACGCGTCTTCGTCCGTCGACCTACATTCCGTTTATCCACTGGAAAACTTATTCGAAGCCTGCTGGGTCGATGGAGCCGTCGTTCACCAACAGTGGAGATCTTACAATAAAAATATTTATAATAAATCGTCGGTTGGTATTTATAGAAAGAACCCACCTCGACGATCTTAGATCTATTAATTATATACGATTCCTCTGGAACGTCGAAGGAAACGTGGTGGCTCTAGCTGCAGGAGGTTCTTAATGAGCGTTCCCTTTGCGGGTTATTTTTCTCTGGTACTGGATGTATCGATTACTCTCGATCACTCGAGGAGAGTCCTGAAACAAATGGACGAGGATAGAACTTATTCAGCTAGACTTATTCAGCTTCGAAACGCAAAGATAGTCGCCTCCGAGTCGCCACCGGAGTCGTCGCGTGAAATCCAATGATTTCGGATGGTTAATAAATGAGCATCGGTTATAAACATGGGAACGTATTAATAGCGCGGTTAACCTCGGGCAAAATCATGGCTGTAAGAGTGCGCTAGGTGTGACGCGATAAATTATGATGATTTAAAGCGACTCATTGATCACGCGAGGTAATCCGTTTCCTTAATTGCCGAGGCGTCTGTTGCGCGTTGAATAAGGCGAAGAGAGATAAAGCGTCGCGACGCATAAATATCCGTTATCGTTCCGGAGCGGTGCGCGTCGACTTGGAAGAGTAATATTCAAAAAATTCACCGATCGCCTGTTGCAGGTTAACAGTGGCTCGCCAGCGGAAGCAGCTGGTCTGAAGGCTGGGGACTCGGTCATCAGGGTGAACAACACCGACATGTACAACCTGAGGCACAAGGACGCGCAGGATGTCATCGTCAGGGCTGGAAACAATTTTGAGCTAACTATACAAAGGTGACAATCAAGCACGTGTAATTAAATTCGACGATATTTTTCATTTTGACAACGTTAAAACTATGCGATCTTTATCTTGTATTCAAATCACGGTTCCCTTCAGGTAATCAACGTTCTTTAACGAAGTACCCGAGAGTTTAGCATCTTTTTACTCTTGTGAAAAAACGGTCACCCATCTTTGCACTGGCGCCACGCGGACCGCATCTTAACTTGAATTATCGCACGCGATAACACGGAGCTCAATGAGAGCTCGATTCTAGAGCGTTGGCTGTTTATTTTGTATAAAAGAACGCTGTTACTGTTAATCAGCCTTCAAGTTCTACCTTGCGTTTATCTTTGACAGGGGTGGCGGTACCTGGAAGCCGCACGTGTCCCCGTTGAACTCCACCCTTCCGTCGCCATCGCCCACCGCCTCCATTGGTAACATTGTTCCAGTTACGAAGACATCCTTGGCAGCCAAGAAGCAAGACGGATCGCACATCGGAAGCGGCCACAACTTCAGTCCAAAGCCATTCGTTAGTGTCAATTAGCTAAAGAAATCGCCCTAGTCTTCGTTCCGAATTCCCTCGCGACGCGAACGCCAATAATCAGAGGCTGCAAATATTTCACTCGCGTTGCAGCTGAACGGGACCAGCGACGGTTCGATCAAGTCCATCGTGAACAAACAGTACAACAGTCCTGTGGGCATCTACAGCGAGGAAACCATCGCGGAAACACTCTCTGCGCAGGCGGAAGTCCTGGCTGGAGGTGTTCTCGGGTAAAATCAGCAAACCAGCGAGTTAACGCTAAACCTACGTTCATATATAATTATTTATATCGCTATGGGACAAATAACTGGTCTTAATGACACTTTTCTCTATTAGAAGCAAGAATATTTTACGTAGAACTGAACTGAATAATGCATGAAATAATTGTATACAATTCATATATTGAATAGAAGAACTTTATACAAACTGTATACGAAACTGAATTGAATAATGCACGAAACTAATATTGCCTATAGGAAATGTATATTAAGATAATACCTCCGAGAACAATTTCTTAACCACCGCTTCGTTTGCAGGGTGAACTTCAAAAAGAATGAGAAGAACTACAACGCCGAGAACAGCGAAGTGTTCAAAATGGTCCAAGAAGCGGACAAAGAGCCAAAGACACCGGAGCCTGGTTAGTAAACGACTTGGAGAGCTTGCCAGTCACAAAGTTATAAATTTTCCTAAAAGTGGAAACTTGAGTTATCGAGAACCATTCACTTGGTTCGTCTTCGTTAACGATAGTTGAACGTTTCGTGCGAACGGAAAGGAAAAATCCCTGGAGAGTTGTTAATTAGGTTGGCGCTGAAGAAACATCGTTTGTCAGAGGAGATACAGATTGTTTCACTTAACAATAATTACGTTCGTGCATTACCTCGTTATATCTTCAGGCAAGAGGAATCATTCATTAGTAACTATAATAAGCCAGTACGAAATTCAAGCTTCAGGGAAACGATATTTCATATGCATCAGCCTAACGAGTATTGTAACGGTAGCCATCGAGCGCGAAGCGTAAAAGAATCGCTTCTTAGGAGGTTACACCAGGTTGAAGACGTAGAATATTCATGGTTCTGTAAAAAATAATTCCAATGTGATACATACATATGCATTATCTGTAGCGTTATCTGGAAAGTCCGAGAAAATTTAATAGAAAAATTTAAGAATCACTCTTCAGGGATCTTTCTTCCGGATTGGTTGGCTCCAGCCAGTCTGGTGCATGCCGGTACGATAACTTCTTTGCGAAATAGCGGAGCCAACTGCGCAGAGCGGCGTGGTATCGCCGACCTCGCCAGCCTTAGCGGGACTGAGGCCAGTCACGGCGCCAGAGACCAAGCAGCAACAACCGTCGACGCCCCAGTCGAGCCTTCCACCTGGACAGAACATTTGTGCCGAATGCGAGAGGCTCATCGTGTAAGTTCAATCGGCGAGACGCGGTTCATCTGCAACCTCGGTCGTTTACACACCTTCTTTCAGCAATCAACAGACAGAGAAAGCAGATAGGACCGTTGATGATTGTCCTTTCGACGAAGAAGATAGCGCTCGCGTTCCATCGCGGATTTCCAATCTCGAGTCAAAGTCTGGATGGATACTGTACGCTTTCTGGAACTCTGAGAAAGGGTTCGAAGCTTTAACGAAACGATAGAGTAGAGGGATAAGAGGAAGGGGGTACTCGGTTGGTAAGATCGTGCAGTTTGTTGACAAAGTAATGGACTCCATCGGTAAGGGTTGATAATGAACAGCAGTTCTCTACTCTATCGTCGCGTTCGTGCTTCAGACGCCCTCTCGCCACTGTTTCGGAAAGTATATTGTATTACCACAATTGATAAGCCTATATCTAATCATTTTCGATTTCTCGCTACGCGAGACGTTTAATTGTTGAACCTAACCCAGGTTTTAATGTAGAACATTCGATTCGTTGACTTGGAGATTCGCAGGACGCGCAGGGGGCGAGAGATGACAGAGATACGTTCCCGGTAGATTGTTGTTGGCGGTTATTAGACAGTTTCTCGTGTCCCGTCGAGTCACACAGCGGTTTTTCTGCTTACATGCAGTTCCTTCGAGAACAGAGTTTTACTCGTCGGTGAGCCACGCCGTTGGCGGAAGAGCCACCTCGCCGAGATCACCCACGCCACTGTTTCACGCTCTCCGGGGCGTTGGTGGTCCTGCCTACAATTCCAATGAATGCTCGTCGAAACGTCTGCCGCAACGACAGGAGTCCTCATCTCCCTCTTGGGGCCCGTCAACCGTCGTTTGTAGCAACTGCGACCGAGCGATCGTGTAACTATTCACGTGACAATCATCCTCTTCTTCCCTTGCACCCCCTGACGCGATGGATCGGAATCTGTAGCTTTTTCGACGATATACGCTTCTGTGTAAACTGTCTCATCACAGTGGCGGCCATGTCTTTGCGCATACCTTGTACAAGCGCCTCGCTTGTACGTGCGTAAGTATATGGCCGCAATTGTAGACCAGGATTCAGAGAAGCTTACTAACAGTACTAGCGTTGCCAATGGAGAGTATACACTCTTTAAGTCGTAATTATGCGCGAGGAAGTTGCACGGAGGACGTCGAATATCCTCCCCATAACTTCCTCACGCATACTCGGAACTTGAAGTGAGTGGCCTCCTCGCTGGCGACGCTAGGAGTTCCAGCGAACTTTTCTGAACCCCCCTACTGCATTTAAAATGGTGTCCTCCTGGATTGCTCGATTGTCGTACGCTGATATCGTCACGTGCTTTGAGTCAGACGAGAAAACGTGCACCCCGCACTCGTCCATCGAAGATCATCCATGTCGAAGCTTTACCAAGTCGCTAATGATCGAAGTCAATCGATCGACGACTGGAAGATGTTTTTTTGTTTGTACACATGCACGTTTTGCCGCAATCTCTGTCGCCTCTGTCGTCGGTATTGCTTCTTCTGAAAGGACCTCTCCATCTTCGCGATTCTCATTATTCTTTCGGGAGGGGCCGTGTCGATCATTCTTATCGAGCTTCTTTCTACTCATGCTCATCGGTAATCTCTTCATTTCTTCGACCTTTGTACTGTGCATATACATATGTATCTCTTCAACGCATCTTCGCCATACTGTGTATTTATTATTTATTTAGAAACGCTCTGGTACACTATAGAGCTACGCGAAGCTTTCGATGTTGTGGATTTTTTTTTTTTTTTTACTTGTTTTTGACATACTCCTTTTTGGTTTTTGGTGTCAATGTTGTGTTTTTCTGTCTCTATTTTTGTAGACACGAATTTTTGTTACCTTTTGCACATCATTTTTCACCGTGTCTTTTTTCTCTTCCACGAAGTATTAACGGTATTCCATGGAAGTTGTTACGGTACACCTGAGAAACAATATAATTATTAAACTTTTTTCACCTCAAAGCGCAAAAGAAAGCATATTTTTCACGCAGCGAGTACAAAGCCAGCGATTTCAAAGCTCACTTTGCATAACACGTCACATTTTTCACACTCACCGAAGACAACATTCGGTTCGTCAGCAACACCACGATACAATATGACGAATTTTATGTTTTCGACCTCCGTCGTCGAGGTGTCGAGCCTCCCCCAACCCCTCTTCTGTCTCTAAATATCTCGGACCAAGAAACTCGTGGCACATCCGATATTAAAAAGGCACTCTGCACTTATTGAATAATAAACAAAACAAAATTACAGAATAAAATACGAGGAGAGCAGCCTAAACCGATCTGTCTACTTTGCAGGGGTGTCTTCGTGAGGATCAAGGAGAAGAACCTTCACGTGGAGTGCTTCAAATGCTCCACCTGCGGCACATCATTGAAGAACGTTGGTTACTACAACATCAACAACAAACTATACTGCGACATTCACGCGAAATTGGTCGCCAGGCAAAACGCACCTTCGGGCCTTGTTCCAATCACCGTGCCACCGTAAGCATTCCACCTGTTTATCGTTTAGGGAGCTACCGGTTTCTCTCCCGAGCTAAAAAGTAAATGTAATCGTAAGCCTTAAAAGTATCCAAGAATATCTCAAGGGAAAGAATTGCGCGCAATAAGAAAAGGAAGCGTAACCTGAGTAAAATGGCGATTAAAAACTTCGCAGAGGCGGAAAGGCTCCGGCTAGCACCATTTCCGCTGCCCTGGTGAACGCACCGTTGTCTCCACCCCTAAGCAATCACGCTTCGTCGCCCCTACCATTTTCGGTGAGTATCCAAGATGAAAATTTTCCTCTCGCAGTGTATTATCGCACAGAGTGTCGCTTTGCACATGATTAAACACCGAGATTGCGCATCTTGCTTGAAACTGTTCCGCGGAATACTCGTGCTTCTGAAATAATAAAAAAGATGAAGAGAATCTTAAGATACTTTTATATATATATATATATATATATATATATATATAAAATTGCAAGTGTATTAGATGTTTAAACAGCCATTCGAGATACGATTTCTTCTGTTTTCGAGTGTTGCATTTAACAGGGGATCAGCTACGATTAAAAACGCGTGTGCGTGTGGTAGTTGCTTGGCACTAATTGCTTTTCCAGGCGTGCAATCGTACGAGCCCCGATTACGGATCCCAGAATCTTCAGGTGTCGTCCCTGAATAGGAACGGATGCATCACGAACGGCGAATGCCACTGGGAATCGAAAACCTTCACGAGCTCGATCACCATACAGACGGGTTGCACAGAGGTTGGCAATACGCGAGAATTTTTCTACCCCCTCGGTGTAAACTAAAACTATCCCTCCTGCCCCCTCGGCGAATAGTATCGCGTCGACGGCGGAATATTCTCGTAACGGAAGTACCGATAAAGATTCTCCTTCTCTGCAATTTTAGACCGCGTCCATTTATATCCGATCACGTTCAACGAATTTCTCGGTACTATTCATTTACCAATAAACAATCGCTTAAAATACGCTCTGAATCAGACGCGACGGGGCCACCGCGTATCGGGATAAAAATGCAGCGTCGACGTAGCGCGATGCAGGAAACGTGACGTAACGATTAATGTTAGAGAAACGTTACAACGATATCGATATCGGTCATCGTTATGATATTCGACCGGTTCGTCCTTCAGGTCCGCGAAACTTCCTCCTCCGCGTCTATTCACCTGCCAATCTTGATTATTCGCGCGACTATTTAGAACCCATGTGACTAATTAGCCTGGCGCGATCAGGAGTGTGCGTACTACCACCAGGGTCGGATGCAGGCGTGAACTTCGGTTGCCGTGGCTCAGGGGCTTCAGCTAAAAAATATTCAATTCTTTAGTATCACATGATAAGACGCAAGTAGTCAATGTATAATGTTATATGAGAATTATCATACTAATGCAACATATTTGTTTTTACTTTTTGTGATAAACAAGCTACGCGACATACCTTCTAGCAGATTTCTAAAAGACGTCCCAAACATGTTCTAGTTTTAGTGGCCAGATAAAATCCAAGCCTATATTTAAGTGAACTGACACGAGCCTGAAAATCCAAGGAGATATTATTAAAGAGTTGTATAAATATACAAGGTTTGCTCCTTAAGTTATGCCACTATTTTGCAGGTATTTTCAATAGTGTAGATAAAAAATGTTTCAGGCAAAAGTTGATCAGTTGAGCTACATATAAGAGAGATGTTTAGGTGAAATCGAAGCCCCAGGTGCCCGCGAACACTCGATCCGACTCTGACCGTCGCTATATCCCCGAATCTCTCCCCCTTTTTTAATTACCACCGCCACGTGACATGGTTCTGTCGTTTTATGCATTGCAGCCCACCCGCCTTGGCACATCGCCCGTCGATCCACCCAGTTTCCGATCAGTCCAGGTAATGTCCCAACGCGGCTCGTCTTAAGCGTATCGCGACACGAAACCCTACACTTCGTGAGGTGCGTCCTTAATGAAAATCATCCGCGGTGCCGCTGCTTTGATCGCCGGATAATGTTCTCCAGACAAGTACGTCGCGCTTTAGCGTAACGAATCGGTGAACCACCGAGTTTGGGGAAGTTACCTCGACGTGTTCTACTAGCGGGCGAAACGCGGGGAATCCCCTCGATATTCGTGGCTCCCTATACCGTGGTTACGTGAACGATACGTCGCCAGGTGATTCAGTGCGCGCAATAGAAGTGATTTACAGGAGACAACGGCCGATACCGCGTCGTTGCGAATACTTTTCTCCGTGGCCCTGGTGTCAAGGCAGCGGAGAGAAGGATCATCGGTGTAGAGTAATTATGTAGGATTTTATAGACTATGCAGAGTCTCGTATCCAGCGAGAATAGACCGGAACGCATCGAAATCGGTAAACCTCGACCTCGAAGGTTTGGTAGTTCGTTTAAGGAAGACTACATAATTACTCGACATTGCTTAGAGCATCCAAGACACAAAATTGTGTTCCCATGACTCTCAGTCATTTATTGGTAGCGTTAATTATCAACCTAATCGGCTAGTCTCACTATCAGCACTGTGCATATATCGCATTTGTCGTTGTTCGTCGCGAAGCCTCACTAAACACCTCACTAATACTTTAAAACTAACGAAGACGCGTTTGCGTATTTTCTTTGTCGGAATGCGAACCACCGTGTGCGTTATTTTCATTAATTATTTTCCTTAATTATTTAAACGAGAATCTCGCCCCATCTCTGTCTTAATTGTCGTCGAATAGTCGTTGCATAATTGTTAGGCTCGAAGGATAGAGTGTATGATAGTATTTTCTGTCACGCAGGCGCCGTCCAACAATCTAATTGGTCCCAAGCCTTTCGGAGGATCCAGCAACCTGTCTTCGCCTCCGTTGACGAACTCAGGGAGCAACACTCTACCGAGACCCCAGAGCCAAACTGTGACTGGTAAGTTCTCTCCTCCTCGATTAATCGCGGAAAATCGTCGGTCGTACGAATCGCCGAGACGCGGACGAAATAGTTGTTGTTACATAATTGCGAACGGATTATGCAACGGTTAGCTTTTTCGAGCCAGACGGAAGTCGAGAGGAATCGCAAGAATCCCTGCGCGGCGAAGAAAGGAAATTAACAATAGCTGTTGTCGGATGCTCTTCTTAAATTAAGTCTATTATTTATAGGGAAAGGTAACTCCTTTCTTGTTCTATAAATAATTGAGTCTTGAACAAGCATTCGTTGATATTGGGTCTTCGGTATGGATGCCGTTATGTAAGGCACGAAATATTAAAATTGTAAGTGCACGGGGTGTACCGAAATTATATTAACATTTATAGAAATTAATACTCGTAAGATTTATTACTCTTTTACTTAACACGTTGATTGCCGCGATATATGGGCGACGGGACTCTTCATTAAGAAATCAAATAAATTCATTCTGAAGACGAGATATTAAAGAAAATAAATCTACTACTAGTTTAAATTCAACAAAAATGAATTTCAGTTATATAGAAACAAAGCTCATATAAATTTTTACGAACAATTTAGCAGTCAACGCGTTAATGTGATGTATCTGATTTATCGGATAGTTAATTTTGCAATACCCCGTACACTTGAAAAATTGAAATTTCCTTCCTCGTACAAGCATATTGTGCGTCACACGCGATACCGAATGCAATTCTGAAGTATGTACCCCCTAGGTGTTTACTTCGGTCCGTAACGTGCACGAAATTCCGTCGTCGCGACGCGCGAGCATACCGACGGTAATTACGAGAGGCACGCCATTGGTATGTCACGACCGAGGGGTTAGACGTTATCAGGGAAACGAAAACCGGAAATCGTGGTCGTAATAAATTACCGACGACAAGCACGATTTTCTCGTTCGTATCTGGATGAACGATCTCTGGTCGATCGTGTAATCCTAACGGGCGGGTAAACCGTCTGATTTATCCTTGGCCTGAACTATGCTCTTCGACTGTTGCAAATAGGTCTCTCCTCCGCCCTGCCAAAGCCAAAAAGTACGCCCTTCAGAGGTACGCCGATCAAAATCGAGCCTGTTGACCGAGTTTCGAGCTTTGGCTAATAACGCGCCCCATTTGGCTTACCCCCATCGCATATTACATTCTCTTTTCTCATCTATTCTCGCAGCCCCGTTCATCTATCGTTCCGTCGTCCATCGGTGATCGAAGGGTCGCTCGACGATCGCCGCAAGAGCGCTCCAGTCGCTCGCGAGCTCTTGAAAAACTTGTCGTTCATCCCCTCGTCGTTCACACGGCGACGACGGCGGGTTCTGCGGATATTAAATTAAAATTAGTGAAAACAACGGAAGAAGAAACGTCATCTGACATTGCATTACGATCATTTCGATTCGCGTTTGACCTTCATTAGGAAGTGAGCGACGCGCATCGACGTTAATTAGTATCGTTGATGTGTTAAGCGACGACGTGGACCGACCTAAACGAAACTAGGACGATAGAGTCGAGACCCGAATAGCGAATGATTGAGTCGAGTCTGCATAGAGAGAAAGATCTTACGTAACAACGAAGACTCTCGGATAAAAATACATCTACGTGTTTGTTTTTCAAACGGAATTTTTTCTTTGGTTTTTTATTTTCATTTATTTATTTTTTTTTTTTTTTATTCTTTTCTTTCTCGCGTAAACACGAAAGCGCGCGACACCTGTGACGGTTAGATCGATAACCACGGATTCTCGTGGCTCGATTAAAAGCCATTCGTAATCGCGCCTCCTCCTTCCTGGACATAATTTTTTCTTTTCTTATCTTTTTTCAGCCGGTTCATCTTTCAACCCGAAACCCAGACCTTTCTCCCTCACATTCGCATGAATCGGTAGCTCTCAGCTGCGCCGTCGTCGTCCTTGTGCTGACAGCCGAATCGAACAGTTCCGATTCAATACGAATAATTATTATAGCATTCACGATTGCTACTTTGCGATCTCGAACCGTATCGCGATTCGAACCGAGCCTCGTTGGATCGTCCGATCCGAACGAGCCTCCCTCTTTGTCAACTCCGGGTAACGAATCGCGAGCTCTTCAAGATCGTAGACCCCATCGTGAACGTCGACGATTGTTTCCTCGATACAAGTGTTAAAGAGTTTAAAATGCAATTACGATAAAAAAAGAATAAATAAAGCGACAGTTAAGCCGAGCAAGCTCTTCGCTCGATACATGTTGTTCCTTTCTCCAACTTCATGTCACGTGCGCACACACACGTCGTTACAAATCCTCTGAAGTTAAAACAAATCGTTTTTTAACTATGTTGTCACCTTGGCTTTCGTTTCGAAGCTCCTCGAGGGGGAACTCGAGGGCCGTGGTGCTAATCAGCAAATTGAAAAAGAGAAAAAGAATTTTTAAAGACGATCGGAATTCGTGGCCCTTGTTTTTTTTTTATGATCGTCCAGAACTGCGGTTGATCTTCGAACTCGTAGACAATTTTTCCAGCCGACGGAGCGCGGTTCGAGATGAGCCCCGACGATCTCGAGACGTGCGACTGCTCACTTGCCACGCTCGTTGACATCAACAGCATCAATCTCGCGCTTTGGCTTTTTTTACCTTTTAATTCGTGCGCCGTCCGTCAACCACGGACGTGTACCGGGTGCGATCGAAGGGGTCGAGGGCTGCGGAAAATATGACGATGTCATTACGGAATAAGATACGGAAAGCTGTTGTTAACATCGTCACTCGCCTTGTTGATGTTTTGTAAAAATTGAAGTAGAAGCTATCGCACAATACATTCCATGATCTTGGAAGATGAGCTCTTCCGCTGTGGAGACCATCGTTGAGTCTCCAAGTGACGGCTGCAGTCCGAACCTGTTGCGATTAATATCAATTTATCTTATTTCATACAGAATTCGATATTTAATCTCTGTCCTCTAACCCTTTCGGTACTACTGCCACAGGTGTCAACCACGAAACGGGTACGATTACTTTCTATAGTATGCGTTACAAAAGTTTAGCGTCAATCACACTCGAGACTTCTATGAATGGTTCAACCACTATTGTAGAAAACTTTCTCGAGCGACGAACATATAACCGCGGCCAGCTCAGTACCGAAAGGTTTAACACTTTATTTACTGAATTTCTCAAAAGTTTTTAAAATCTAGGCGTTCATCTTGGTCTTATATCATCTTATAGAGTTGTCTCTAACAAGCTTCCAAAAGCAGAAAAGCTTGTGCTGCCATTCAATAATTAAAAACGACCTTCATAGAAGTGGACTTGAAACTCATAATAGGTTTCAAAGCGTTCAATTAATTACCATGAGTAAATTGACTTATAAGTCCCGCTAGTAAATGAAGGGTTAAAGTTCACTATGAACCCTTTAACCTCTAACAACGTGTGAGACTCGTGGTATAGAATTTGAGTCGAACACGAAGAATACGAGTCAGACAGGTCGTATGAAAGAGCGTAAAGAATTTTATATCTAATTATGCAGTAAATCGTAGATCAAAGAGTTGAAGTCTATACAAACACAGGTTTCGATATAGACAGCACATCCCACCAAGTCTCGCATCTCCTCGGATCGCACCTCGCACACCTTCGTGGCGATAGCTGCCGTTATCAGCTTTCTTTCGCTCTTAAGTTGCGCTTTCTTTTTTATTTAGCATCCTGGACGTGTCCGCCATTCTGCAAAAAGAGAGACAAATTGCCAAGAACTTGAACACCAATGAACATAGACTCGACGGATGGCGGGCACGCGCCGCTCAATGTGCTTCTTACTTACCGCTGATTTCTTTGTTTTTTTTTTTCGTTCTTTCTAACACGCCCCAAAACCTTTCACCTACGTTGTCAAACGCATGCCTTACAAACTGTTTCGTGTGTGTCTTGTACGTTCTGTTACTCGTTCGCCCGTTGTCGCGACCTTC